GCTTCCTAAATTCATACTTTCAGGGTAAAAAGAAAATATCAAATAACGTATTTCAGAATAATGATCCTCGTTTTAGAAAAAGTCAACAATTATGTATTCTAAAAAAAAAGAAAAAATTATCAGAGGAACATGATAGGAACATGATGTACAAATACATTGCAGATAGATAAGAAATTTGTTTAAGGCGAAGAAGAGTCAGCCAAGTTATAAAACATACCCATGGAGAGAGCTTTGAACCTAGGGCTCACTTTTCACCATCGCTTTAATTGTGCATAAAATAGCACTGCCCTCCATAGAAACAGTCCCCCAAACTCCCACCTTGGTGCTCTTTCTCTCCTTTGTCAGCACAAGTATTTTTTAAATATTATTATTCAGCCCACTGTCCTACCAGTGCCAAGGGATTTTTTTATTAATGTGTTTGTGTTGAAAGTCTCTCTGTTTGAGACAGCTGTGTAGCACAAGCAAAACATGAAATGGGCTGGACCCCACTTCCCCAGCTCCAGGTCTGCACCAAAGGGTGGGTGTTGAGGTCCTCAGTGCTTCAGCTTTACAGGGTAGACTTTGGGTCAAGAGTGAAGCTGGGTGCATAGTGCGGAGGCAGAGAGCATCGGGAATTTAGATGAGAGGAAGAACAAGTGGGTACAGAGGCCTAAAAATAAAACAGATTAAAACCACAGACTTGATGTGTGAGATAGAAACTGTCAGCTATTTCAGGGATCTTCTGTCAGACTGATGAATGATGTGCAATTCTCCTACTGACACGCCAATAAAAACAGGTGGCATTCAGTGGATTACTTGGGCAAGACCTCAAGACCTCAAGACCTCAAGACCTGAACCAGCTTGCAGATCTCTGTAGTACATGTATATGCATATGTATGTCTACACAGACATACACATACACACACATAAAATACCTTGCTCAAAAGGTCATATACAAGTCAGGATACCTTAAAGGAAGAAACAATATGTCACAGGCTTCAATCAGTATATTTGTTTGCTGTAGGTGTGTATTGTTGGTATATAAATGTTCTCTTTAACTAAATAGCCAGCATGAACTCCAGGCAGTGGAAAAGATATTGTACTGAAAGGAAGCCAGGGCCAGAAGCTTAGCTTTCAGAAACTACTGGAACAAAGCTGCAGTTCTGTGCATGGAATATGGCATGACATTACATGTTACTGAAGGTCTGTTATATTGGAAACCTGACTGAGTTTTCATACATACTTGTGCAGACACAGTAAATTAAAATACTGAATTGCAAATAATTTTTCAAAGTTTGGTCAAAATTACGGCATATTCTGAAACACATAAATGAAGTAAATTCCTCACAAAGTTATAGCAGCTGGTTATAATAGACGAAGTGGAAACTGCTATACACACCATTAAAATTCTGACCAAGAAGTCAAACAGATATTATGTCATGAAATTCATCTTTGTCATCCTACACTGTAGCCACTTACTACCATGTGTTTTTTAGTAATTTTTTCAAGGTTATTTCTGTTTCTATGCCTAAAAGGACCAAAGCTAACATATATGAGTCCAGTGATACTGGGCAAGTACTTGCTTTTCTATGATGGTATTTCTAATATATGTCTGCCTTTTCATTAAAGCAGAGATAAGTGTTGGAGAAGATAAAGCTGAGTGGGAACAATTTCAAGCATGGCGCAAAATTTACAACCCAGAATGAGACATTCTACACCTGAATGGACATTACTTCACTGGACTTTGCCTTATTATACTGGATATGACATTACCCCGGATTGGACAGTTTATCCCCAGTTGTCCCCGGTTCATTATTGTATTGTTATACTGTTGTCTGTACCCCAGTTGTTGGTTTTGAAATCATCCACCATATTGTCTTCCTCATCCCCTCACAGTTTTCCCGCTCCCCTGCACCTGATTGGCCACTAAGTGCTGCAGTGCAGGGAGAGCTACCATTGGCCCATTACCCCGGATACACCAAAACTCCTCCCCTCCTTGCCCGGTTCCCCAATCACATTCATCCCTGAGTTGTCTGTCTTGTGCTCCTTCCTAGTCCAAACTCCACCCTTGAATCTACCCTATATAAGTTACTGTTACCCCTAATAAAATTGGCATTGCTCCACGAGACCTCTGCTGTGTCAAAGACCCTTATTGCAGTGCCCGGTCCCTATTTCCTTTCCCCGTGGGCCGTGGCAAGTGGTGCCCAACGTGGGGCACTATAGAGGTCTCCTGTATCAGGAGAACTCCTGTGCTGCTACTGGGCTTCAGGTGACTCCAGGAGCGGAGCTCGTCCCGCCGGCCCTCCTCTGCATAGCTGACAGCTGTGGACTTCGAACAAGTCGCACGGGTCGCACGCCTGAAAAGGTGAGCGGGGACATTCCTGACACCCTCACCCAACACCTCATCCCCGTAGTTTAAACGAAAAAGGGAGGAATAACATCTGGAAGTGCTGAAAAACCCAATTAACATCATGGGACTCACACTTTCCACCTCCCAGAAATTCGTTTACCACCGCCTCAAAGACTTTGTAATAGAGCACGGTCACCCGCTTGATACGAAATCAGCGAAAGCTCTCGCCAGATGGCTTGACCGTAATAGTCACCAAGTTAGCGATAATATGTCATTTGATAAGTGGCAAGCCATTGGGTTCCAGCTCTGGCGGGAGAGCGGCAAGGGTGACCGGCTCGCTAAGGAGGCGCTTATAGCTGGAGGCTTGTTCTGATGGTGCTTCAGCACCAGATGATGAGTAAGAACATCAGCAGTAACATCCAAGGCACTGAATCCTCCAAGTTGATAGAAGAAAATAAACCAAGTACAGAGAAGGACACAGAAAACACGGACAAGGATACTAAGAGCACTGGCACTGACACCTTCCACTCAGACAAGGACACTGCAAGTTTCCATCAAAATGGAGGGAGGGAAAAGAAGGACATTGGCTCTATTACACAAGATGGCAGGCGGGAGACGGACAGCGATTCCCAAGATGGTGGGAGGGCGCGAAGAAGAGGATTGCGGCGATCTCGAAATGGCGTCGAGGAGGCGGGGCCCCGGGTTTCGCGGGAAAAATCGACGCGGGAAAAGCGGAGGCGGGCTCTTGTAGTTCCACCCACAGCGCCGCCTCTGCCCCCGTATACGCGCGCGTGGAGCCCCTCCCCAGACACGCCTTCTTCTACACCCACTTCCGCCCCTCCAGTCTCCTCCCCAGAGCCATCTCCCTCCCGGAAACCAGGGGGTGCAGTGGGCGGGGCAAGGGCGAAGGCCCAGGTCAACATCCGCCAAGATGGCTGCGCCCATAAGGCCCAGGCCACCGAGGCCTACCCCGCCTGCCGGCACCCTCACTCCGATTGTCACTGGGTGCCATACTCCCCGGAGGAGCCATCTGCCACTCCGGATATCTGGAGAGCCTGCCGGGAAGAGGCGGCATGCGCCAAAGACACGGAGTTTTTACGGGCTTTTCCTGTATACTATGACGACGGTAAAGCACCCGAATGGCGTCCAGTTTCGTACCCCATGCTGAAAGATATGAAGAAGGCTATTGTGGAGTACGGGTTGGGCGCCCCCTTTACCCTCGGGCTGCTTGAATCCTTTTTCTTGGCCTACACATTAATTCCATTTGACATAAGGGCAGTGATGGGAGGACTGTTAACAACCGTACAGGCCTCAGTTTTTGAGGCGGAGTGGAGAAAGCGAGTAGTGACCTTTGTGAACGACCAAATGGAGAGGCGAGGTATCCCCCTACGGCAAGCCATAGACATGCTTTATGGTGTGGGAGATTACGCTCGTAGAGGGGATCAAGCACGATTGGATCCTAAATTGCTAAACACATCTAAAGAATTGGCATTAGAGGCCATAAAGAAGGTGGCCGATGCTTACGTGCCGACCCCCTCCTTTACAATGATTAATCAGGGCCTGAAAGAACAGTTTACAGATTTCATAACTCGGCTGAAAGAGGCGATTGCCAGGCAAGTTCCTCAAAAAGAATGCCAAGAAATTTTATTTAATAAATTGGTCATCGAAAAGGCTAACGAGGACTGCCAGAAAGCACTTAAGCTTTTGAAGGATCCCATTCTACTAGAGATGATAGAAGTGTGCAAAAATATAGGATCGAACTCCCATAAAGCACGTCTATTGGCTGCCGCATTTTCTGGTCCTAACCATTGTTTTGAGTGCGGGGAGAAGGGACACTTTAAAAAACATTGTCCAAAATTGTCTCAATCCACACCCGATTTACCCAACACCTTGTGTCGTAGGTGCGGGAAGGGATGGCACTGGACCTCCAGCTGCCAATCCCTCACGAACATCAACGGTGAGCCTCTCCCTCCGCGCCGTTCACCTAGGTTACGAAAGCGAGTAACCTTTTCGTCACTGCCGGACCTTCCGTCATGTGAGTGCGGGCCGTCGGGATACGGGGAGCTGAGCGCTCAGGGGAGCGCAGTGACAGAAGTTGCCCCCCACGTGCGCTCGATTCTGCGCAAACCATCGTGCCCAGCTACCGCGTAGTTCGGCGGCCGCTCCCTGACCCAGTCCCGGTGGTGAACCAGTGTTCTCCACTCCCCTGGGTCATCTTGTTGGTTGTTCACCCCTCCCTTCACCTTAGCTCGTACGAGCAACTCGCCAGGGTTCAACCATCAACAACGGTCGACCCTGATGCCACTTATTTGATTACCTCACACTTTTCAGCAGTGGATAAAGGCATCATGGTAGTGCCTACCCTTCTGACTGGGTTTACAGGTACTAACATCGTGGTCTGTTTGTATGTTCATACTCCCCCTGTGCAGCTGGAGGACCGCTTTCCCGTGGCCAAGATGATATCTATGGATGACTTGCTGCGCGTGCTGTCTTTCGACGAGGAGCAGAGGAGGAAGGACGAGAAGAAAGTCCTATGGTCAACAACTGTCGAATCCTCTCACCCTCTATTAACATGTTTAATCGACTATTCTCAGCCCAGACATCCGCAGCGAGTCAAAGTAGAAGGACTCTTGGAAACGGGAGCGGACGTTACCATCATCGCCTCCAAGGACTGGCCGCATGGGTGGCCTGCACAGACGGCATATGTGCAAGTCAGCGGCGTGGGGGGAACACAGTACCCAGTCAGAAGCAAGGAGGTACTTGTCGTTTACAGGCCGGAGGGCAGACCAGCATCCCTCCAACCATATATCTTAAACATACCAATCACACTTTGGGGACGGGACTCTATGGAGCAGTGGGAGCTCTCTTTGAGAACCCTGTCTCCTGAAGAAAATTTTTAGGTGGGGTCACTGAAGTGATGCAGCTCCCCAAACTGAGCTGGAAAACTGATACGCCAGTTTGGGTTGATCAGTGGCCCCTACCAAGAAAAAAGCTGCAGATTTTAAATGATTTAGTGAATCAGGAATTGGCCAAAGGACACCTGGAGTCTTCCACCAGTCCCTGGAACACTCCAGTGTTTGTCATTCAAAAATCCTCAGGTTCCTGGAGATTTCTCCAGGACCTGCGAAAAGTGAATGAAGTCCTGGAACCAATGGGAGCCCTCCAGCAGGGAATGCCAGCTCCATCCATGCTCCCTGCTGAATGGCCCCTAGTGGTTATTGATATCAAGGACTGCTTTTTTCACATATACCTAAATCCGGCTGATTCGATTAAATTTGCGTTTTCTGTCCCTGCCATCAACGCTTGTGAACCTCACCGCAGGTTCCAGTGGAAGGTGCTTCCCCAGAGGATGAAAAATTCCCCAACACTCTGTCAGATGTATGTGGCAGAAGTGTTGCGTCCAATTCGGCAGAAATACCCACAATCAATCATCTTCCATTATATGGATGATGTGTTGATTTGTGCCAAATCTCAATTGGTTGTGAATAAAACGTTAAATTCAACTATTTCGGCTCTAAAAGATAAAGGATTGGAAATATCCCCTGAAAAGGTTCAAAGGGAAGCACCCTGGAGGTATCTTGGACTCAAAATTACAGAAATGGCCATCAGGCCTCAGGCAATCGAAATTGACAAGCGAGTCCAGACATTAAACGACCTCCAAAAACTACTGGGAGCGATCAATTGGATCAGACCTGTGCTGGGGATCACAACTGATGATCTGCACCCAATGTTCGAGCTGCTCTGAGGAGATGCTGACCTGTCCTCCCCTCATCACTTAACATCAGACGCAACAAAGGCCCTATCCACTGTTGAAAAGAAAGTGTCCTAAAGACAATCGTGTAGGAGGATGGAGGGACTGCCATCCTCCTTGGTAATCATAAGGGAAGAGAGAAAGCCTCTCGGCCTTCTAGGCCAGTTTACCGGTGACAAAAAGGACTTCTGTTTGTGGGAAAGGATATTCCTCCCGCACCAATTCAGCAAGACGATCACCACCGTCTCAGAAATGATTGGTAAGATAATATTTAAAGGTCGCACTAGGTGCTTAGAACTCAGCGGTGAGGAACTGGATTTTATCTACCTCCCGCTGACTTCTGAACACCTAGAACAACTGTTGCAAACTTCCATCGATTTTCAAATCGCCATCGGAGGCTACCCGGGAGAAATTCGGCTACACCTCCCGGCATGCCCATTTATTCAGAGATTAATCAAAATCCCGGTGAAACTAAAAATTTTTCAATCGGATCTACCCATAAAGAACGCTAAAACCATATTTACCGATGGCTCTGGGAGAACTGGCAATGCAGTGATAATTTGGCGAGAAAAAGACAATTGGCTACACGATATACATAAAGTACAAGGTTCTCCCCAAATTGTGGAACTTTCGGCAGTTGTGCGAGCTTTCCAAATTTTTTGTGGTGAGCCAATTAACATAGTTTCAGATTCGGCCTACGTTGTTGGTGTGGTCAAACATATTGAAAATTCATATCTAAAAGATGTGTCCAATCGGAGTTTATTTGAATTGCTGACTAAATTGCTATTTTTAATTCAGAATAGACAATTTGGCTTTTTTATTGTCCACACCAGGTCACACACCGCTCTACCAGGTCCTGTAGTGGAGGGAAACCAGCTTGCCGACCATCTGGCAGGGATGGTGGTTACTCTCAATTTATACCAACAAGCTAAGATTTCTCACGAGTTTTTCCACCAAAATGCACGGTCGCTACAGAAACAATTTGGCCTCAAATTATCGCAAGGAAAGGAAATTTTGAAAACGTGCCCTGATTGTCAAAATTTCACGCCAGTCGCCCCAGAGGGGACTAACCCGAGACGTCTGTCCGCGTTGGAAATTTGGCAATCAGATGTCACGCACATCCCTGAATTTGGCAGACTAAAATATGTGCATGTGTCCATTGACACCTTCTCAAAAATGATTGTGGCCACCGCGCATTTTGGTGAGAAGAGCCGTGATGTAAAAAGACACTTTCTGTCCGCATTCGCACAGATGGGTGTCCCAAAGCAAATAAAAACAGACAACAGGCCCTCCTACGTGTCTGCGGACACGAAACGGTTTTTTGAACAATGGGGAGTACACCATACCACCGGGATCCCTCACAATCCCACAGGGCAGGGTATAGTGGAGAGTGCACACCAAAACATCAAAAATTTGCGAAAAAACAAAAAAGGGGGAGTATTGGCCTGTCCCCCCAAGAGAAATTAGATAAAATTATGTATGTTTTAAATTTTTCGAATCTGCTGGAGGAATCAGACACTCACGCAAACAGAAGTCCAGCAGATCGCCATTTTGGATCAAGCTCCACCACTGTAACCTCTCTAAAAGCTAAGATCATGTACCGGGACCCACTAACCGAAACATGGACGGGCCCTTTCCCCTTGATCACCTGGGAGAAGGGCTACGCCTATATTTCAGGTCCGGACGGGCCAAAGTGGGTCCCAGCCAAGAGAGTTAAAATACATCACGAGTGAACTGCGCAGGAACCACGATGTGTCAACTTCGCTCTACGACGATCTTCGGCGTCGTCATCCTCGGACTCGTCCCTCTCTGCGGCATGATACCTCTGCGGGAGTGGATGAGTCAGCCCGGAGAAAATTTGTGGGTAACGCTGGCCAAGGCTACAGGCACAGACACCTTGTGCCTGTCCTTGGCTAGTGCGGGGAGTCCATTCCGCACATGCCTCGTAGGCATTCCCATCACCCCTGTGGAGTGGAACTCCTTTGTATCCCAAACCCACAACAAAGGAACCATCCCACTTAACTTTCCAAATCTCGCCCAAACCATTGCAGCACTTAATTTTATTGATATTCCTTTTCAAGAGATTGATTTATTAGGTTCACTCCCTACCACTGCCTGTGTTATCTTTCATCGGTATACTCAACCCATTCTGTTTACGCCCCACAATGTTACTGCAAACAAGCAGCTTTACCGGGGGACCACTTCGCCGTGGTGTAACAATTCTGTTGTCACCACCATCCCGACGGAGCATGTTCCTCGGAACATGCGGCTCCCGAACGGATACTTCCTATTGTGCGGGGATGGGGCATGGCCAGGAGTTCGAGCCTACCCAGAGGGAGGTCCTTGCACAGTAGGGAAGTTAGCATTGTTCAACCCAGCGAAGTTCTAATTGGCTAATGAGTTCGTGTTTTTTAAAAGTTATGGGAAAAGGTCCCTCTGAGTAAAGCGGAGCTGGTTTCCAAACATTCAGAAGGAGGTTGAGGGATGGAGATTTCCTAAGCCTCAACCTACCCCGAAACCAGCTCCAAGGTCGGAATCCATTCAGACTCCGAAAATTTCATCCCCACAATTCGGTGCTAAATTTCCTAATGTTCTCCCACCACCACATGTGAATGTCGGAAAGCCACATTATTGGCCCACACCTCTTCCCTTCCCGGAGGAATGTGATTCAGGCATCCACATCTGGTCAAGGTAAAGAACTTTGGGGCGTCCTTCCCTATCCCTGGGATAGGAACTGCACATGCCCTCTCTCTCTTGACGCACTTAGGTTGCTGGTTAACTAAGGAAGCGAATGCCACCACTCAAGCGATTGAGGGCCTGCTGGAGGACACCCAAAAGCTTAAAGAGGTTAGCTTGCAAAATCGAGCAGCCATTGATTTCCTTCTCCTGGCACATGGCCACGGGTGCCAGGAATTTGAAGGAATGTGTTGTATGAATTTCTCCGACCATGCCGAGTCGATTCATCAGAGTATTAACCAGCTAAAAGGTCTGGTCGGAGAAATTCGCCAGGAGAAAAGTAAAGGGCTCGATAACCTCTTTGATTGGCTCCAGTTACCAAATTTTCCAAATTGGTCCAAGAAGCTTATTATGTTGTGCATTTTATCCCTTTTTGGTCTAGTTTCTGTTTGTACTATCTTACTATGTTTAATCTTATGTTTACGTAAGTTGCTGCTGAGCTCCATCGAGGCAAACATCGCTCACGTTTCAGAAAACAAAGAAGGGGGAGATGTTGGAGAACATAAAGCTGAGTGGGAACAATTTCAAGCATGGCGCAAAATTTACAACCCAGAATGAGACATTCTACACCTGAATGGACATTACTTCACTGGACTTTGCCTTATTATACTGGATATGACATTACCCCGGATTGGACAGTTTATCCCCAGTTGTCCCCGGTTCATTATTTTATTGTTATACTGTTGTCTGTACCCCAGTTGTTGGTTTTGAAATCATCCACCATATTGTCTTCCTCATCCCCTCACAGTTTTCCTGCTCCCCTGCACCTGATTGGCCACTAAGTGCTGCAGTGCAGGGAGAGCTACCATTGGCCCATTACCCCGGATACACCAAAACTCCTCCCCTCCTTGCCCGGTTCCCCAATCACATTCATCCCTGAGTTGTCTGTCTTGTGCTCCTTCCTAGTCCAAACTCCACCCTTGAATCTACCCTATATAAGTTACTGTTACCCCTAATAAAATTGGCATTACTCCACCAGACCTCTGCTGTGTCAAAGACCCTTATTGTAGTGCCCGGTCCCTATTTCCTTTCCCCACAGGCCGTGGCAGATAAGTGTCATCACACATAACAAATGCTAAAAATTTCAGTTTTCTTTTTCTTAGAAGTATGTCTTCCTTGTGATTCACATCAGTAAAGTTTTACAGTAGAAAACAAGCCTTTTATTCCTTGAATTGCCATGAAAAAAGGCCATCGTATTTGGGGATTTGAGATGCCATCATCTGCAGACTTTCATAATGCAGAGTATGAGTGAGTCAGCTGCCTCTAGTTTTATGGATTTCTTCAGAAACAGATTGCTTGACTACTTGCATTTTTACATTTCTGTTTGATGCTTTTGATTATGATGGTAACTTTACAATCTTCCATACTATGTGATCCTGTAGAAATTTGCTCATGTATTAAGGTATATGTCCATATGTATTACAACCTATTATTACCGTAAGGGCAATAGAATTTTTTGTCATGTTACCTGGCCAATTTGTAGCTCTACATCCCTGCTTTTTGCCATATTATACTTACTTTACTAGTTCCACCCATGTGTTACGTGCCCTAATGGTTTCCTAGTCTTTGTTTTGCAAATGGTGAGTTCTATGTCTTGCAGAAGAATGGCTCTAAGTTTATCTCCTTTATGTAACTTTGTTTGATGAGTAGCATCCATAAAGCTTACATCTTCCTGCTGGTGTTTTCAAAGACTCACAGAATCAATTAGGTTGGAAAAGACCTTAGAGATCATTGAGTACAACCTATGACCAAACATGACCATGTCAACTAGACCATGGCACTAAGTGTCACATCCATTATTTTCTTAAACTCCTCCAGGGACAGTGACTCCACCACCTCCCTGGGCAGCGCATTCCAATGTCTGATCACTCTTTCTGTGAAGAACTTCTTCCTAAAGACTAACCTAAACCTCCCCTGGTGCAGCTTAAGGCTGTGTCCTCTTGTCCTATTGCTAGTTTCCTGAGAGAAGAGACTCTCACCTGGCTACAACCTCCTTTCAGGTAGTCGTAGAGTGATAAAGTCTCCCCTGAGGCTTCTCTTCTCCAGGCTGAACAACCCCAGCTCCCTCAGCTGCTCCTCACAGGGCTTGTGCTCCAGACCCTTCACCAGTCTTGTTGCCCTTTGAACACGCTCCAGTACCTCAACATCCTCCCTAAATTGACGGGCCCAGAACTGGACACAGCACTCGAGGTGCGGCCTTACCAGTGCTGAGTACTGAAGAATCACATCCCTGGTCCTGTTGCTGATAGGCCAGGATGCCATTGGCCTTCTTGGCCACCTGGGCACACTGCTGCCTCATGTTCAGCTGGTTGTCAACCAGAACCCCCAGGTCTCTTTCTGCCTGGCCGTTGTCCAGCCACTCTGTCCCCAGCCTGTAGTGCTCCACAGGATTGTTGTGGGCAAAGTGTAGGACCCAGCAGTTGGCCTTGTTGAACCTCATCCCATTGGATTTGGCCCATCTATCCAGCCTGTCCAGATCCCTCTGCAGAGCCCTCCTGCCTTCCAGCAAACCAACACTCCCCTCCAACTTGGTGTCACTGAAAATTTGCTAATGTAGACTCGATTCCCTCATCCAGACCATCAATAAAGATATTAAACAGGACTGGGCCCAACACTGATCCCTGGAGGACACCACTAGTGACTGGTCGCCAACTGGATGCAGCATTGTTCATCACCACTCTCTAGGCCCAGCCACCAGCCAGTTCTTAACCCAGCAGAGAGTGCCCCTGTCCAAGCTGTGGGTTGCCAGCTTTTCCAGGAGTATGCTATGGGAGATGGTGACAAAGGCTTTGCTGAAGTCTAGATAGACTACATCGACAGCCTCACCCTCATCCACCAGACAGGTCACCTGGTCATAGAAGGAGATCATGGTCAGGCAGAATCTGCCCTTCTTAAATCCATGCTGGCTGGGTCTGATCCCTTGGCTGTCCTGCATGTGCCACATGATTGTGCTCAAGATGATATCATTAGCAGTGGAGACTTATGTTAGAAAAGTTTCACAAATGTTGAGTTCACATTTTTGTTCTTGCTTTATCTGTTTGGCACTTTTTGGCAGGCTTGTCCTGTTCCTTGCACTTTTCTCATCTCCTTTTTTCTAAAGTAATTTCTTCATTAGGGTTTCTTCTGTCATTTTAAATTATTTTTACCTCAGAGCAATCCAACATTGACCTATACAGATTAGCACAGAATTGATGTGAAGGAATTTCTTGTCTGGAAGGAATTTCACTGAGTGGACAAACAAGATGCAGTTTGGATGAATCTTCTGAACAACCAACACACAATCTGCACTTGAGAATCTTGGTTTTGTTTTGTCCTGTATTATCTGCATTATCTGTATGGTACTGTAAACTCTGCACTGGTGTGGCCTTACCTTGAATATTGTGTGCAGTTTTGATCACTGCAATATAAAAACAATATTGAGCTCTTAGAGAAAATACGAAGGAGGACAACGAAGATAAAGGGCCTTGAGGGTAAGCCATATGAGGAGTGGCTGAGGTCATTTGGTCTGTTCAGCCTGGAAAAGAGGAGACTGAAGGGAGACCTCATTGCTGTCTACAACTTCCTCGTGAGGGGAAGAGGAGGGGCAGGCACTGATCTCTTCTCTGTGGTGACCAGTGATGGGACAAGAGGGAATGGCCTGAAGTTGAGTCAGGGGAGGTGACTTGGATATTAGAAAAAGGTTCTTCACCCAGAGGGTGGTTGGGCACTGGAACAGGCTCCCCAGGGAAGTAGTCATAGCACCAAGCCTGACACAGTTCAAGAAGTATTTGGACAATACTCTCAGGCTCTTGGGGATGGTCCTGTACTGGGCTAGGAGTTGGACTCAATGATCCTTGTGGGTCCCTTCCAACTCTGCATATTCTATGATTCTGTGATCTTCCAACCTAAGCTTTCTCCATCATCTTACCGTAATGAACAGTTTGAAAGGCTTAGGTTGTTCTTTCATTGGTGAAGAAATCAAATACTGTGTTTTCCAGAGAGCTTGGTACTGCATCATCCATGAGCATATTCTATAGCACTTCATTAATTTCAGAAGAAATCTGATTATTTTTTCCTTGCCTTATTCTCATTCAGTGACAGAAATCACTGACTGATCATACTAGTATAAATGCCTAGGATGCCAACTGAAGATAGTAATGACCATCAGATAACAGCAGCAAAATTCATCACAAATAATTTCTTCTCTCATTTTGTAACCCCCAACAAAGATTTCCTATTGATTACTTATAAGTTTATTAAAATAAGAGTTTTATCTTTGCTGTTAGGTTTCTAATTACATTAATGATATCTTTGTCTGGAGTTTCAAACCATTAGTAGAAATTGATATCGTAATCATCAACTACATAACATAAATTTGTACAATCACTATGTACATTAGCTTATCTCAAAGAAAAACTGGAGTGATTGTGTCACTAATTTGACTATATCTGAGCATGCACTTTGACATGGTAAGTATGACCCACTTTTCTTTGATCATGAATAATGTGTTACATTAATTACTCTTGTCATTCCCTTCTTCCAAGCTCTGAAATATTAAACAGAGTAAATTGCACCATCCACCTTTATTGATAATGGCAAGCTTAAATGGTAATTTAAGAATGGCTGTACTGGCTGGATCAAAAGTCTACCTAGCCATGCATCTTCCCTCTGAAGATGGCCAATGTAAGCTTCTTTATGGTTAAGGAAATTATTTAACCTAAGTATATATGTTACATATTTAAATATTCTATGAGTTAACACATCTATAATGAAAGAAGCATTACTGAATATGTGTCCTCGCTAGGAATTTGTTCTATTACTTCTGTAACGATAAATAAGCAATTTTTTTTTCTTTGCTGTGAATGGTACTTTCCCAGAGGAAAAGTGGCCATAACCACAGCTAGGACTGCTGTAGACTTTCTCCAAGTGTAACTTGTTTGGCCCTTTGCCATGATGGTCTGGCAATCTGGATTCACAAGTGGCTCCAAGTCAAAAAGCTGTGTAACTTGGAAGATAAGGATGCCACTACCTAAAACCAGGGGATTGCTTCATTTTAATGGCATTTGGTGGTTTTACTACACTCCCTATAAGCTTTCCTAGTCCTCTCATCCCCAAACTCTCCACCACTGTAATAAGTGCCCTGTTCTGCCATTGAAGTAACTGATTTTCATAGAAGATTACGTGCCTGAACTTGCAGGTACACAACATGATATTCTTCAATGACTAAATTCAAGAGTTTGCTTTATTTTTTCCCTCGCTTTAGATCTTGTAAACTGGAATAACCTGGAAAAAATTTCAGGTTACCTGGGAGGCTGAAGGTAAAGAGAGGTACCTGAAAAATCCAAATATTATGCTCAAAGTCTTTGAACTGAAAGACTAACCAGTGCTGTCAGGCGGTGGGAAAAGTATGGGGGTTCTTTAGGGAAGACTCATCTTTGAATCCTGTTAGTGAAGGGAGAGACTGGTTTGGAGCTAAAGGAAAGACAAAGTAGGAAGGTCCAAGTAAAGGCTGAAGTATCACATAAGCAGAGTGGGGCTGATAAAGGGACCGTGCCAAGCTGTAGAAGTCACGTTGTGAAGCAAAGAAAAGGGATTACTGTGTCAGGCGAGAGCGAATAAGCTCCGTAGCGAAGGCTTGCTGCCATGACCCCGGGCGCATACACTTATTTGTGTGAGAGTCAGTCACGGTGTGGAAAACGCCTGCAGCCCAGATGACAGAATCCCCCTGGGCCAGGAGCCGTGGGGACCCCGGCGCTGGCTGGGCGAGGCGGGGCGGCACTGCCGGCTGGGCAGGGGAGACGCCGAGGCCCCGGCCAGGTAGGGAAGCCCCTCGCCGGCTCCGCGGGGCGCGGCCCAGCCCGGCGCCCCCTTCCCGCCCTGCGAAGCGCGGCCGGGGCGCAGCGGCCGCCCTGGGCCGGCCTCCTCCCGCCGGCGGAGTCCCCTCCTCCCGGTGCCTTCCCGGCGGCCGCCGAGCCGCTGGCGGGGAGGCGGTGGCGGGCGGCTGAGTTGCGCGGGGCCCGGCGGCGCTGCCCATGGGGGAGAGCGGGGTGCCCCCCCAGGTCCAGCTCTTCCTCCGCGCCTGCGAGCAGGGCGACTGCGAGACCGCCCGGCGCCTCTTGGGGCTGCCCGCCGGCGGCGGAGGCACCGCCGACCTGGCGGCCTCCTCCTCCTGCGGCCCCGAGGAGGCGGCGGCGGAGCCCCGCGGAGAAGCGGCGGCCCCGCCGACCCCTGCCGTGCCCGTGGACTGCACGGACGAGGCCGGGAACACGGGGCTGCAGTTCGCCGCGGCGGGCGGGCACGAGCAGCTAGTGCGGTTCCTGCTGCGGAAGGGCGCCTCGGTACAGAGCAGGAACCACTACGGATGGAGCCCCCTCATGCAAGCGGCCAGGTACGGGAGGGGGGGAGCGGGACCAGAGCGGCTCTCCGGCCGCTATCCCGCCTCGCCGCGGGGCACCGGCCTAGTCGGCGGCAGCGCCGGGGCGGGGAAGGCTCAGCCTCGGCGGCCCTCCCTCCCTTCCCCGCCCCAGGGCTGCCGCGGGCGCTCGACTCCCCTGCCCTTCTAATCCCGGTCCCCGGGCCAGGGGAGGGCGCCCGGGAGCGCTGGGGAGCTCCAGGCGGGTCAGGCGTGTGGGAGAGGGGGCGTGTGGGCGCCATGTTGGAGGCTGCGGTCGGTCGTGGCCGGTGTATCCCGGCGTTATGTCGGGGGATCGAGCCGTCACCTGTTCCCGTCCCTGGGGGTGGGTAAGGAGGGGTTGTCTGGTGTAGATTTGGTTAAGTGTTGCTCTGGGGCATTAGGTTTTTATCTTTTGTGGTGATTGAAGCAGTGAACGCTATTTCTTGAATAAAGCCAGCGCAGAATTGCAGTCAAAGGTAACCCGAACGTGGAAACACTGCTCCCCTCTTTCCTTCTGTGACAATAGGATACGCACGTACCCTTACTTAATTTTTATTTTTTTTGGGGGGGTATGTATGTGTCTTACCTACTTGTTGAAAAGTCACGTCTGACATAAAACATACTGAAGCAAACAGACACGATTAATTTCCCTTGGCTTTCCCATGTGTTCCTAAGTGCCTCGCTGGAGGATATGGAAAATCATTGCTGAGAGTTTTTAATGACAAAACTGTGTTGTTTTCTGCATCGGTGATGCTGTACTTTCTGTAACCCACTGCTAGACTGTGGGAGGTCCTCGAGTTGCTCATGCTGGTATTGGTGCTTATCTTTACATGTACAAGTATGCCTTGGGCTCACAGGCATGTTTTGTGGGGTTGGAGGGCAGTGCTTTGCTATAATAACTGAATGCTTAATTGAGAGGAGAAATGTTTTTTGTGTTTTGGTCTTTTTTTTTCAGTTTCATAGCGTTTGAATACTTGAAAGAAAAGAATCTGTTTCAAAGTCAACATTTCTCTTTTCAATTAACGGCCATAGAAAGTTCCCAAAGAATGAGTCACACAGCTGGTTCCCCAGCAAGAACAAGGAAGACAAGGTTCAACAATTTTGTTATTTTATGAAGGTTAAAAAAAAAGGAAAAATAGTTGCAGAAACAGTCTTAGATTTTTTCCCCTTAATGAAAACCATACGCTCATTCTCTAAAAACAATAAAGTCAAATCACTATAACCCTCTCACTGATTTCAAGAAGTTACTTGCTGACACTTGAAAAGTATTGTATGTATTATTGAAACCTGTGCAGAAAGCATAAAGTAGAAGAGCATGTTCCTTTTTTCTTTTTAATGGATAACCAAAAAGGAAACATAGTGTTTATACCAAGGTAAGTTTGAGTCTATGTAGTGTTTAATTTTCTGGCTGTCGTTAGTCCTATTGAAATTGCACAGGAGATAGCATGTGTGCATAAAATTAATCATGTGTAGAGGGGTTGCAGGCTCTACTGAGGTGATGCAGTGAAGGCTACCAGGATGGACCTTGTGACTATGCAGGCCCTGGAGGCTTCCTCCTGCAACTGTGTACTTTCTGAAAGGAAACTAAGGACATTTGGTCTCACGTTTGCTTTTAGTGATTAGTAGCATTATTCAGGAATTCCTGAACTAACATTTGCTCTGCTGCAGTGTACAAAGACTGCTTTTAGTGTTGAAGTTGGATTGTGTTACAAGCACTGTACAAACATACAGTTATGCATAATGTCTGCAACAAGAGCACAAGGCACACATCTTGTCAAAGTATTATGTTTATTAAAATGTGGGGTTCCTCAGCTGAGGAACAGTAAAGGTTTTCCTTTTCCTCATGGTTACCTAGCTGGTTGGGTGTATGGCTTGCACGATTGTCTTTTGCTTACTGACAAACTACCAGAGCCTCTGATAATCAAGTCGTATCAAAGCTTGGTTACTGATGAAACCGTTGTCTGAGTTCAGTACTCTGACCAAGTTCTTGAGATATTCCACACAAGGAGGGCTTAATGATTTCATTCCAGCTTTCTTTATTGGAACATACTGGATGTTACAGAGGGTTTTGATTTAGCCCAGTGATACAGCAGTCTCCTGAAATTGTAGCACAAGCCTGACATAGCAATTGCACAATAGACAGTCAAACCAGAAGACAAACAGCATAGCCATTACCAGTCCCTGTAGGCTCACCATGACAATGCTGGGTGTTGGGAGGAATGGGTTAAAAATCAGAAGACTGTCCAGCAGGGTTGTAAATCTCCCAATAGACCTTCCAGCTGGGACTAACTCTTGATAAGCCTGTGTGAACAGCAGGCCAGTGATCCTCTAGCACGGACTGATGATGATGCCTGTGTCTCTGATTGCTTACCTCTGCCTGTGTGTTGCTTTGCGGATCCCCTGGTTCACAATTTAACAGAAATGAATTTACTTTTTGCATTTTAGCTGCAAATTTGTGGTGGTTACAGCTGCCTGTCTGTGTCAACTCACACACTGGGTATCCCCAATTACCAGGGAGGAGTATGTGACTGGAAGCCAAGCCCAGCTCAAGTGCCTTGCTCTCTTCAAAATTCATTTTGTTGGTTGCTCAGTTTTGGTGCTCTGTGTTGGGCTGAACTGTATAAACACTTCCCCCATGCTGGTCTGGTTGACTTAGAAGCGGAATATTTTCCATTGATTGTTGTAGGGAAGGCCATTCACACAGACAGTTGTCCCACTCTTCTAATAGAGCTATTTCTCTCTGATCCCCTTGGTGTTGAGTGAAGTTCAGGTTACTCTACAACATGTGGCCACTGGCTGTTCATCTGAGCTTAACAGGCACATTCATGTCTTCTTTCATTGTAGGCGTTAATTGATGGTTCACAACTGGAAAACAGGGGATAATGCAAATATAAAAGACTAGCTATCCAGTTCATAAAATGGCCATTTTTCTTTTTTTTATTTAGCACTGACTCTTTGCAGTTTTTACTAGTTCAGTAGTAATGAGGATACTTAATTAAGATCTCTGTAAACAAATTGGCTTTGATTCTTGAATGTGATACAGCCCTAGAAATAAAATGAAAGTGACCTTCTGGTTCATGTTAGTTATGAGTTGGTACCATGCAGCTGAAAATGAGGCTGGCAGGTTGCTGCTTTAACCAGACCATCCTCTTAAATAGGGGTCTGCTTTATGGGCGTGGTCACTGGTATATGTGGAATGGTTTAGTTTACAGTCCTCAGCTGACCATTGCTCTCCTCCAATGAGGTGATCACTGTCATGTTCAGTGTTGTGTGTATGATCCCTCATAGTGTATTAGTCAACAGGCCCATTCGATGACAGAGTTTTCTGAGTTCAGAATATGTTGGTTTTGGCCATCCAAGGTGTTAATTCTCCTCCCTTTTTCTCTCAAGGTTTGGACATCTAAGTGTGGCCCACATCTTGCTGGAAAATGGTGCTGATCTCAATGCACAGAATAAGTTAGGAGCCAGTGTCCTCACAATGGCCTCCAGAGGTGGCCACGTCAGCATGGTGAAGTTGTTGCTGGAATCCGGAGCTTTTGTAGACAATTACGACCATTTCGGCACAAATGTACTTAACAGCAGCAGAGACGACCTTCCCGATATCACTCCATTAATGGCAGCTGCTCAGCATGGACATGAGGCAGTGGTACATCTGTTACTAGACTGGGGAGCTGATTGTAATTACACTGTGAAGACGATGGGCTGGAGTCCTTTAATGCTGGCAGCTGTTAGTGGAAAGGTGAGCTTGGCACAGCAGCTCATGGAGAAAGGTGCCAATCCTGATCACCTGAATGTACTACATAAAACACCTTTTGAAATCTCTGTTGGCTTCAAACACAAAGACATGAAGGACTACTTGGAATCTCTCACAACGATCAGACCTCAGGCAGGTATGGACTGTTATTTTTTTGTTTCACTTTCTTGCAGTTTTGATTGTGTATTTAGAAATGGAAAGTCTCATTGTGTATGTGCATGATGTTCTTTATAGTTTGTAACTAGACTATTTTGACTATATCGGAGTAGGTACACCTACTTCAGGTGAGGTACGAGTGCCCAACATCAACAGATTTTTTTCCACATTAGCAGGGTGAGATTACTGTCTTGCAATAAGAATCATGTGAAACATAATAAGAATTATGTGAAACATACTTTTTACTTTTAAAGCACATGATCCAGGTGCTCATTTAGGAGGAAAATAATAAAGGCCTATTTGAAATGACACGAAGAAGTGGCATAAAAACCAGAATAGGATATCAAAGAAAGGATGTTGCAGACTCAATGAAAACCTAAAATATAGAAAATCTAGCAAACGTGACTTGTCAGGAAAGACTGAAGAGTTCAGTCTGTCTAGTTTCATGATGAAGTGATTAAGAAGTGAGGTTAATAAAGTGTCCGTGTTAAAGACAGAAGGTCAAATAGTGGAGGGCCTTTTTATGTGGTTGTGAAATTAAAAAACTGTGAGTTTAAAGTTAGAGGAATTTAAACAGGAAATAATATACTATGGTGAAGCTTTGAGCTGAAGTGACTTAATAGAGGTGTGCAATCTCTAACAGTTGCAATCAAGGTTAAATGCCTCTCTAAAACTTGTTTTTGGGTTGTCTTCATTGGGTGTTGCATACAAAGCCTGTGACACACAGAAAACCGGATGAGGTTAACTTAATGTTTTCTTCTACCACTCTGAATATGAAACCTACTCCAAGTCCTTTGAAAGTGGACTGTGTATTCTAAGGAAACTGAGTATTAATGTGGATGAATAGCAGGTTGGCATGACCCCTACTTCTCTGATCCTTGGAGGAGCGGGGAATACTTAATTAATCAGTTTGATTTGAACATTGTGTAGGACATTTGAACATCAATAAGTCATTTCAGGGACTGAGACCTTATTCTGTATGTGGCTGTTTTCGAGACACTTTTCAAGATATTTATGCTTTGTGATGCAGACCAGTGCTGAGAGGTGCTCAGCAAGAGGATTTGGAAGAGCTATATTTGGATTTTCCAGCTTTGGAGTGCTTGCTATAAAATCTAAGGATGTGTCTAGCTCTAGAAAGATCCTTTTGTAGATCCATCCAGCCATGGTGGCAGAAACTCTGCAGGGTAGGATAGTCCACTTTAAACTCTATGCCACCTGTGATACCTAAATAGGCTTACTTAAATCTTACCTATTTATGTCTACATTGTGCTGCCACATAGACACGTCCACAATCCCCAGAACTGTTAATTTTTATTTACATTTGGTGCCATTCCTGCAGGTCAAGCTTCCTGTGTATTTGAAGAAGTAAGGACAAAAATCAGACATTTGTTTCTGCTTCAGGGAAGGTGTTAGTCAGGTGTTGACTCCTGAGTTAAGCTGGAGCTCTAAGGCTTTCATACAGCCACACTACCAGGCAGAACTGGTTGACTGTAGATGTTTGCTCATGACCAGTCCCTTGAGGAATAGACATGAATATATATGAATACACACATGGATGTACAGGATATATGTGCAGACAGAGTTGGGTTGATGAATCTTGAAAAACCTTCTGTGGTCACACCACTTAAAGTATAACGAAGAAGGCTGTTAAAGCGAGGAGAATAGAACGTCAGAGGAATGATCCTTCACTCAAAATATTACAATTTGTAATAATTGCAGTTCTTATTAATGAGAATGCCAATCTGAGAGCAGAAAGATATCTATTGATGCACAAATAACAAGATATGTAGGTAAACTGTCACTGTTATTTTTCACAAATTAACCCAGGAATACTCAAGAGGAAATGAAACTGGGACAGCTTCTAAAACACCTTGCAAAATAATCCTGTACTATTTGAGTGTTCACTGTTGTACAGAGGATTACACCTGACCACAGAACCATACTGTGGTTCTTTAATGGATATTTTAGTCTTCCAGGCAGGAAACACTAGAGTTACCAAATACAATTTCCTGATAGAGAATGGAATTTGAAAAACCTGTGCTGGTGCTGTATTGTGGTTTGTAGCTTTAGCTCTGCGAAGAGAACCATACAGGTGAGTTACTCTTCCCAAAGGGGATAAAGTTGTTGTCAGTGGTTTCTTTGTTATTATTAAATGTATGTCTAAACATATGTTTTATAGTACTTTTATGTAATTTTTAGTAGTTTTTGCTATAAAAAAATTACTAGAAATTATTGCTTTTTTATTGATTGCTAATAGAAATATTTATATTCCTTCCAGATACAGAAAAGAAGCAACCTGATGTCTTTCATGCTTTGAAACTGGGTAAGTACTGAACAATTCTTCCACCATGTCTAATTGTTGTAACTTTTGAGCATGTTTGTTTCCTAACACGGGAAACAGACTTCTGTTTCTTCTCGTCGGGTGTAGGCTACCAAAACGTCTTCCTGGGAAAGCCTCAGGTCTGTTAGATTTTTAGAGAGTTCAGGTTCCCCTCTTGTACCCCTGTGATTACTGAGATTTACAAATATTGGTACTGGGTCAGAAGGAGTACTAGAGGAAGGGCCACATGAATACTGTTCAGCATACTCTATCTCTTTGGGTTTTTTTGCCAGCACTGTTAAAAAAAGCAACTCACTAGGTTAAGGGTTGTCTAGGCCAGGGTTCAAAGTAAATTCTGGAGTCTCTGTAGGTTCCAGGGTTTCTGTTTAACAAAGTCTGTGATGTGGGTCTGTATTAAAAAAGCCACCTGCTGCCTTTTACCAAATTGGGACACAAAAAATTAGTTCTGTGCTTTTGTATCATTCCCATTCCAACAAATCAGCTGAGTGTTGTTGTTGGATGTTAGTTCTAGTGAGTGCACTCAAGTGCCTGCAGGATTTGTCTGGAATTCTGACTGACTTTCCAAGGAAAATGTACACGCCTGTGATTGAGTTGAAGGCAGCCCATGCCGTGAAGCAGTTTACCATCTGTATAAAGGTGTAGTGGGTTGACCCTGGCCAAATGCCAGGTACCCACTAAAGCCACTCTCTCACTTCCCTCTGCAGCTGAACAGAGGAGAGAAAAAAAACCCGCTAAGGATTCATGAGTAGAGATAAGAGCTGGGAGAGGTCTCCTACTGATTACCTTCATGAACAAAACAGATTCAAAGTAGGGATATTACTTAAATTTGTTGCTGACAGGATCAGAGCAAAAGAGTGAGAAGTGAAATAATCTTAAAAACACCTTCACCCCACCCCTCCTTGCTGCGGTTCACTCAGGAAATGAGGGACTACACACTCCAAGGGTTCAGATGCGAAATGGTCAAGGAACTTTATTAAATTGAACTGATTTCTGGAACTGAAGGTGGACTTCAAAATGGCTCCTGCCTTACATATCGTAAGGCGAGAACATGCTGGAAGGTGGGCGGAATTAGGGAAGGGTAAGGGCGGTGCATGCAAATTAACGAGAAAACGCAACTAAATATGGAAACCACTGCAATGCAGTAGAAATTAACCAGTGGGGGGACAGGGTATAGGGCCATGAGGGAGAGTGGAACTTTCCAGCATTAGGGGTACAGTATATGGGGAACTGTACAACAAACACAACATAAAACAAAACACAACATTGAAACACAATATAAAATCCAAAATGCATATTCTTCAATAGTTCACAAAAGTCTGTATCTGCTTATAAAGTCAGAAAGAATGCTGAATTCGGTGCTCTACTTTCAATCTTCATTTCCTCACCTCCAACACCTCCTTCTTTTCATGTTCTCTCTCCTCCCTCCCAGCGGTGCAGGGAAGCAGGGAAAGGGAGTTATGGTCAGTTGTTGTTTCTGATGCTGCTCAGGGACAGGAGTCCTTCCCTGCTCCCATGGGGTCCCTCCCACAGGAGGCAGTCCTTGATGGACCTTTCTGGCATGAGTCTATCCCACAGGCAACAGTTTTCACAAACTGCTTTCCCGTGGATCACTTCTCCATGGGGTGCAGTCCTTCATGAATGAGCTGTACCGATGTGGGTCCCCCACAGGGGCCACAAGTCCTACCTGGGAAAAGCCTGCTCCAGCGTGGGCTCCTTTCTCCACAGGCTGGAGGTCTCCGGCAGGACCCTGCTCCATCTTAGGTCTCCCACGAGGTCACAACCTCCTCACGGTCTCTGCACCCTGATGGTCTTCCATGGGCTGCAGAGGGACAGCCTCCATCATGGTCTTTACCATGGGCTGCAGGGGCCTCAGCTCCAGTGCCTGGAGCACCTCCTGTCCCTCCTTCTGCACTGCCCTTGGTGTCTAAATTGTTGTTCCCATGTTCTCACTCCTCTCTTCCCTGGCTGGAATTCTCTCTGCGCAATAGCTTTCTGTTCTTAAATATGTTATCACAAAGACATTACTCCTGATTGGCTCGGCCTTGGCCAGCGGCAGGAAGTCCATCCTGTAGCTGGCTGGCATTGGCTCCACCAGACAGGGGAAGCTTCTAGCAACTTCTAACAGAAGCCACCTCTGTAGCCCCCCCCACCAAACCCCAGCCACAGAAACCCACTACAAAAGGTGAGACTTTTTTCATTTGCACAACAGTTATGATTTGCTTATTCCTGCCTCTGTTCCTATGGTGGTATGTACAGTCAGAGAGATCTTTTCTTTCCTTTAACTTCCCTGCTTTTACTTGCCATATATCATCAAAAAAATAATGGAGGTGGCTGAGCTTAAGCTCTCTAAGATAAGCCTGACTACTTCATATATTTTTTAAAAGTGCTTGCTCCTAATTTAAGTTTAGAAAAAACCACAACCTTGTTGAAATATATTCAGTAACATATTTTGTACTGCTTTTCCTAATCTAGACAGGAACTCAAGTGACTAGCAGCCCTTATACTTGGAAACTGGAACATTAATTTCACTTTGAAAAAACTAGAAAGATGTCAAATGATGCATTACTCTTGAGTAGGGAGTAGGGATGTTTTGCATTGGAGATTTAGTTCAAATACTGGAGGCAGAACTTTAAAAAATCATTCTGAATATGAGAAAGTTGAGCGCTGGAGTAGATTAACTCCTTGGAAGGTTGTGGAATTCTATCAGTAGAGGTTTTTTGAATCAGTGAACTACTTCTGTTAGAGGAACTTATGGGTTAGTGTGACACAAAGCATTTTTCTACCTGCTTAAGGCAAGGCATGGCCTCCTCCGGCACCTTTTAGAGTACCTTTCTACCCACTTAGTCTGATTATAAAATTGTTGCTTTCTGTGATTTCAGCCTGTGGAAATGGAACAGGGGTCTTGGAGTCATCAGTTTTCCTTGCACAACATCATCTTAGCACAATTTAATAGAAATATTCCCTATTTGTGTCTTCACATGTGGTTTGCAGTTTGTACAGCTTCCTTGCTTAGTCGTTCATTTCAGAAAATAATTCTTCTAATGGAGTTGCACTGTGAGTGTACAGGTAGGGAAAATCAGGAAAATACAGTGTCCCGTGCTTATGCCACAATTTTATGTAGGCTGAAAAGATGTACTAATTAACTAAAAGACCAAAGATCAGTACAGATTTTTAGCTTTAGTGTTGCAGTTGCTCTAGTGCTTTATTTTTTTCTGTTTTAATTCCACTAGATGTAGAGCAGTGTCAGCAAATCAAAATACTTAATAATTCAGTGGCTGAGCAGTTCTCTGTTGCCCATGTAGATTATGTTTTATGCCTGTTTTGCAGGAAACTTCCAGCTGGTTAAAGAGATTGTTGATGAAGACCCAAGTCAGGTCAATATTACCAATGTTGACGGTGCATCTCCATTAATGATTGCAGCTGTAACTGGACAGCTACCCCTTGTTCAGCTCCTTGTTGAGAAAAATGCTGATGTTGATAAACAGGATAATGTTCATGGCTGGACAGCACTGATGCAGGCCACATACCATGGGTAAGATATGTACTGTCTTTGGGTCTAGCAGTAAAGAAGTTTAATTCTTCTTGCATCCCAATAGAAAAAAACCTTTTTGATACTGACTGTGGAAGCAGAGGGGTCTTACAAGAAATTGAGAGACTTGTGACCTCAGTTTTCCGTGACTTATGCACTGTCCTCAGCTTTTCAGACCTGAATGATGTTTGGACTTCAGAATGAGTGAAACATTTGGGAACTTGAAGCTTGCTAAATAAATGCTGAGAACATAGTGCTCCAGGAGCTTTGGTGCAGATTTCAGTTTCCATCCTTTGATGTTTTTCAGCATTGTGAAAGATAGTATCACCCTGCCAGGGTTGTAAGCCACATCAAGCTGTGAAAATTCAAGGCAATCACCCTTCCATGTGCCATATTTTCCAGTCTTAAACCATTGCTGTGTTTCCTTATTCAGCCTTTAGTTTTCATGGAGTTTTCAGAAATGCAACCAAACTGTCATTTTCTCTAAAGCTCCTTTATAAATGTAGGTAGACACTTAAGAGTCAGACCCCAGAAATTTGCCTGGCTGGTACTTCACGTATGATCTCTGTTATACACTTGGCACTGTCTGAATACAGTTTTACTGTGATGAGCAATTGGGAGTGCGAGTGTTGGTGTACAGCTGAAGGGTAGAAGAGTCCTGTGTGTAAAGCCACATTCGGGGTGCCCCAGTTTGGCTGGAACACCTCATGTGCATAAATAAGTACTTAGCCTTGTAATTCTGTACTTTGCATCTTAGCCTTTTCTCTTGGCATGGACCAGTTGCAAATTTTTGTAACATTTGGAAATCTTTAGCCTCCACAGAACCTCAGCTAACCCTTCCTGAGGAACATCAGTGGTGTCGAGGGTCTCAGGCTTGAAGGAGGGAGCAGACAAGTTCTTTGTGAGCCGGGGCGCTAAAGGATTGCATCTCTATGTGCCCTCAAGGTTCAGGACTGGAAAGCAGGATGGAGGGATGATACAGTTTTAAGGAAGAGAAGTAATGGGAAGTATGCAGAGGAGCTGTGCTTAGGATAAGCAGAATTTTTATTAGAGGAGTAACAGTCCTCCTCCATTTTGGGTTGATTTTTGTCTGGAGTGAGTTCAGCAGTGAAAACTTTGTGTGTATGATAAGTGATGCTCTGGAGATACTGAGATCTGTTTGTCAGCCTTCAGTGTTAGAATTTGCAGGCACTATTGCTGCTTGAGTATGTTTTTGCTCTGTGTTGTTTATGCATGTCAGAATTTGTTTTAATACAAGGTCAGTTGCTGCTCAAGAGAAGTTTTGTATTAAGTATATTATTTCATAGCTTTGTTGTCTGTTCATTTATTTTGTAGGCAGAATTAAAGTATTGTTTTTAGCTCAGGAGGCAAGTCCTGCTTATTTATTCAGATATATGAGAGGGGAGAGGGGCTAATGGAGCTGAGGTGGTGTCTTTTATGCAGCTGCCTTTTAGGAGCTTTTGTTGGAAGGTGTTTGTGTTGGTTGACATTTAATGCTGATTGTTTTTGCATTTTAAACACCTCAAGGAAGTGATAATGTGCTTTCTAATGATATAATTTATATCTGTAATTAAGTGAAGTACTGTTTGAAGTTTATAATTATCTTCAGTCAATTTGGCTTTTCTGTGTGCAATTTCTTAATATGCAAGCTGTGAATGTGAGGTTGAGTTGAAGTCCTAGTGATGGCATATGACGACTACTGAGCTGACCTTTGTCTTTTCATCTGCTTTTGTGCCCTAGGCATTAATGGCCCTTCATTGGGAAGGTATTTGGCAACAAATTCCAGTCAGTTCCAAAGGATCAGTTTAAGAAACTGGCTATTCAAATTAGGTTTTTAAGGCTGACTTTCTGCCTGTCGATTAATGTGATTTGTAGTGAGTAAAACAGTGACTGACAAGGGAATCATGGGAGCTTCTAAAGAGCTTGTGAATAAATTTTACATAGATTAGTTGCAGAAAAGGTAAAACATCTCTAATTGAGGAGCAATGTTATAAAAGGTTGAAAATGGAGTATTGGGTGTTTCTATTTTATTTATTTATTTTTTAAGTGATCAACACCTTTTTTTTATTCCCTTAAAGAAACAAAAACGTTGTAAAGTATTTGTTAAATCAAGGAGCGGACGTCAATCTTCGTGCAAAAAATGGATACACGGCTTTTGACCTCATAATGCTGCTGAATGATCCAGGTATGCTATTTCAAAAAACTCTGGGGAAATGTACAACATAAACAAACAAACTTCCTTTCCGATCCAGAAAATACATGAAAGTTGCTAGGAAGTATCCTCTGATGTCCAGGCTGGACTGGACTGAGAAAGAACATTGCCTGAAAATGGTGGGGTTTGAGTTAATTAGATGAGTGTATACATTTATGGGATAACAGATTTTATGCATTCCTCTGGACTTCGTTTTTGAAGATGCTCAAAAAAATGTGGTGTTTGTTTCACGAGAGCCAGTTCAATGGCATTTCTGGGGGCACAGATGTTCTATGGTGTCATTAGCACCGTGGAACTGGAGCTAGAAATTTCCCCTTGGTAAAGAGCAGCAAAGAGACAGGACAAAAAGACCGTAGTCGGAACAAAAGTAGGGAACTCCTGGCTGAACCTCCCACTAATTTTGTAAAGACTGAGAATAAATCACACTTCAGGGTTCAAGTTGTTTTTCACTTTTTTAAAGGGAGTGCTCTAGAAAAAGCAGCATGCTTTGGGAAGACTTCAATGAAATACATATAGTTTTTGTTTTAGTTTGTTTAGCCTACATAATTTGTTATTGTTACCCTTGCTTGGTACCTAAATTGATTTATCATTACTGCTAATGAAATTAATGTTTCTTTTCTCTGTATTTACACGTTATAATGGTTTTGGTCACTAGCAGGTTCCTTTCCTTGTCAAAAGTAGATCATTAATAGTATGAAATTTTAGGAAATAAATATAGTGAATTGTTTTAGAACTAATTTCTGTGACAGAATAGTTTGTCCTGTAACCTTTCTCTCTTGATCAGTTCTGTCTGTTCTTCTGAAAATCCTACCTGAGTGCCATATAAAACGCAGATTTACAGAATATTTTTTTGCCTTCCTGTCCTCATGTCATGCTTGTTCTTTTTTCTTCCTCTTACTTTTATTTCTTTTTTTGTCCACCTTTTTTCTTACCATTTCTTTTCAGTCCCTTCATTGTCCAGGCTGAACATCTTCTTTCTCTTTGGGATTTAATTTCGAGCTTCTTTTCTGCAACCTGCACTTGAAGAAAGAATATTCATTTTTCTCTACTCTCTTCTGTGTCAGGTGAGAAAAGGGAGCATCACAATGTTGTTCTTGACTTGTACAAAGTGTGAGAGGAGGCAGTTCAGTTGGTCACGCATGACTGATTCTGACTGAATAGCTTGCTTATTTATATTGATAAATACCTTTAGAGAGGTGATGATAAGACTGCATCCCACTGTGTGGGGAGGTGTGGGAAATGTAGGTCAAGAAAGAAGGTTTGGGGTAATGGTAGATGCATTACTACTTATGTGGGATTTATAGGGAAAAGTGTCAGAGTCATAATTTAGGAAAGTAAACTAGACCAAACATTGTCTTAATTTGCTTTCTTTTAGATACAGAGCTTGTAAGACTACTGGCATCAGCATGCATGCAAGTAGACAAAGACAAGAATAAACTGAACAACAGATCATCTTTGCCTAGTTCCAGAAGTAGGCAATCCTTAAATGTCCCAATGTTGCCAGATGACAAAGGAGGTCTAAAGGTAAATATGTTCACTCTTGTTAAATAACACAAATTAAATTAAATTACATATTCCTGCAATGTATAAGCAGAGAAAGTAATTGTAAGAAGCATTTTGGATCTAATACGTAACTGAGTTTTTGGGGGAGTATGTGTGTGTTTCTGAGTTTCTTGTTGACAGTGCTTCCTGGGTTTATAGAGTAGCATGTGTTGAACATTCTTTTTCTCAGATGGCAATGCAATAGGAAGACTTAAGGAAGTTTGCATTGAAGCATTTCAGTGCTTAGAAATAGATCTCATAATTAAGTGGAAGGTACCATGTTCATAAGTTTGGAACTCAGTTTCCATTAGGATCTTAATTTTAAATCCGTACAGAGGATAGCCTTTATACCCAGAAATGGAAGCAGGATATTGGCATTGAAAATTAAGAATATCATAGCAGAGATTTTAATATGAAGAGTAGTAGAAGAGTGTGCAATTCAGGCTTACATGTCCTCTGCCATGCTGTATCCTTAGCTCCAAATTGATGGTAGTCTAGTAGGAAACAACATAGAGTTAGAATAAATGTGTGCCATTTAAACAAAGGTATTGGGACTTACGTTGTCTGTTTGCAAAAGAGAAGGGAAAAGTGTTAGTTAATTTTTTTATTGTTGCTGTTGTCCATTTACTTGAATAGTTTTTAATTATGATGTACCTCAGAATTTCCTTGAGTCTGTGATGTCATCTTTTAAGTATAAATATTATCAGGGTGTTGGAAACAGACATGTTACTTTCCAGGCTATTTTTGACATGAATTTTAAAGCCTGTTTAAAGTTCTACTTCAGCTCAACTATGTTTTGCAGTTTTAGTTATGAATGAACAAGTGCTTATTTTCATATGATTACACTATTACTCAATATGATGCAATATCAGTATCAATTTAAACTGATCCATATAAGAATGCAGTTACTTAGGTGGGAAATTGTCAGAATAGCTTTTTGCTTTATGGAATACAGATCAACAATAGATTGGATTCCAGCTCTCGCAGTGTTATGACACAAAGGTTTGAATTAAGGTCATAAAAGATTATGAAGTGAAATATAAAAAAAATTGTCAAAGACATACAAATGAATACTGACACAAATTTCATATTTGGGAATATTTAAGTATTTGGTCTCAAAACTACAAAATATTACAGTGTTTACAAGTCTTAATCAAGCATTTTTTCAGCAGAAATTATATTCTCTGTAGTTCTCTGATATATATATAACCTGGAAGCCAATATAGTCCCTTCTTCCATCACTGCTTAATGTTTTATTAACCAACCTGTCTGACCATGAGTATGTTACATATCCTACTCTCCCTACAAACGTTGCAACAGGGTAAAAATGGTATTTTCAAATTGTCTGAGTGGAGGGCAGTGTCGTAACACTCATCTCTCTTTTGACCAGCCTGTGAATTTTTTTTTCAGTCATTCAATAAATGTTACATGAAATAGCAAAAAAAAATTTTATTAAAGTCAAGCTACAATACAGCTTTTTCTCCCTTCTGCCCACCTTACTGGTTACTCTGTCAAAAAGAGATATTAATTTGATGGATTTATTCTTGACAAACCCATGTCATATGCTATGTCATATGAGCTGTGATGATGTTTGAAGTTTTTTCAATTATATCCTTTCAGATTAAGCATTTTGATCAGTAAATCTTCAGTTTTTCCTCTTTGGGTGATTGTGCCTTTGCCTTTTGCCCGATTTCTGTAACTTCCTCCATCCTCTTTTATTGAAGATAAGCAATATTTGTTCAGAGATTGTGTTGTCTATAGTTACTCTAGGGTAATTTTAATCAATCTTGTCTGGTTTTAATTTGTGCAAGCTCATTTAAATACTCCTGCTCTATTAAGCAAATGGACATATATTCCTACCTCTCCTGTTAATGATATTCTTACTAAAATATCTGATCACAGGTAGGCTGGTTTTGGAGTTTAAAAAAAGAAACCCTTTTCAGTCTCTCCTCTTTGATCACTTTTGTTGTTAACTAGTAGACTTCTTATTTTGTTATGCGTTTCTTTTATTTGTTATTTATGCATAATAAAGGCCCTTGTTCCTTTACCTACTGATTATGCAGTGGATATTCATGATCGCATTATTTACCTCTCTCACACAAGAACTGCTAACTGCTTTGTTTGTCACCATTTCATGGCCTTGAAAACAAAGTTGTGCCTTTTCCATATGCAAAAATTTTATTTCCTCTTTTTTCTTCCTGCTTGTTTTCGGCAAGTTATATTCTCAATGTCCGTATTAGAGCAGTGTGAATTATCACATTCAGTTTCTATTTTAGATTAAAGTTGTTTTAGGGCAGAGATTTCCAGTTCTACCGCTTATGCTTTCATTCCTAGTATTGTTACAAACGTCTAAGGTATTTCTCAAGGGGCATCATAATTTTTCTAGTTCTTTGATACTGTTCCCTTCTCCCACTGCTGCTAGATTTCACCCTCTTGATGGACACATGTTTTTTAGCCATAAATGCATTTTTGTTACTTGACTGCTTCAATGTAATTCAAAGCCCTTTACTCCAACCTCTGTACCTGTGTGATGTGGTAGGGGCATTTGGAGAGGCCATGACCTCCTGCAACAGCGGACTAAAAACTCCGGAGCTCAGACCATCATACTGTGAACACCAGAGCACAAGATGAACTTCTCCAGTATAGTTCCTTTCTTGCCAGAGATCAGCAGTTTTTTTTCTGGTAACATGGTGGCTGTACTTACTGTATTTGGGATTAGTTTGTGGTGCAAGCACAAGTTAAAGAAACAGAAGCACTGTGAGGAGGAGTAACAGAGATGACGAGCAATCAGAAGTGATCTTTCTTACACATCCAAGCCAGCTTCAGTCAATGAAACCAAACCACGTCGTGCAAGCACTCTCGATTGTAAATTCGTTGTACTCTAGGTTAAACCTAGATGGATTTTTTTTGCCCTTTCAGTTCCTTTTGGAAGGTGAATAAATGCTGAACGGTGTAGATTTTATTGCTTTCTCAGAGCTATTTGTCTCTCTTGCCTTTTTTCATCAGATCTTTGTTGCCGAAATTAACATAAGTCTTTACCAGTTATGACTCCAAAGAGACACGGAGGTCTGAGAACTCTATCCATTACTAATGCTCTGTGCAGATCTAAAATCTTTTTAATGATCTGCTACAGGGATTAATATGCAGGGGATAAGTTTACGGTTTACCTTACTTCTACTATATGACAATTGAGAAGATATGTATCAGTGAGCAGCTGAAAAATACTAAAGAAGAGAGCAGAATACATATTGTGAGAAGGGGTGGTTAAGAATAGAGAGTAAAGTAGGGAAGTGTTGTTATCTAGATTGGCTATCACATAAAGCTGCCTTGATGAAGTATTGTCACTTTTATATAACTTTTTTACAAAAAGGGTTCCAGAAAGGGAAGAAGAAACTTTACTAAGAAATAATCAGAAGATACTTATAATCTGACTGATTTATCTACAAACCACATAATTTTTAATGCAGATTGCATATGTCTTTCATAGTCTAGAGAAATGTCCTGCTAAAGACTTGAAGCATCTTACATTGTCTGCCTGTAAAAATGTGCAAGTCTGTGAATACTTGAATGAATTTTACTTTGAGCAAAGATAGTCCTTTTATGTTACAATTTCCGCATATGTGATGCCTGTATGGATGGAGGTTGTAGGTACAGTAGTCCTAAGGTTTGTGTTGTTTTCACAGCTGATATTTCCTTGACTTGCTCTTTTTCAGTTTGTAGTGTTTCCAGCCTGATAGAGTTTAAACTGTTTGTGTAGCAGCACTGTATGGATTATGGGACTTTAGTTTGACAGGAATACTATCAGAACTCTTCCAGTTTGCCACTGATTTTGAAAATCTTAAGGGGAAGTTTCATTCAGGTCAGATAAGCTTCTATGCACACTTCTAAAAAGCAGAAAATAGACATGTCCGTTCATTGATGCCAAAGAGTATAAGAATCGATGGTGAAATTGGAAGCTAATGGAAAGAATAAATATTTGCTATGTAGCTTTAAATATTCCCTATTTAAATTGCCCTAATGTTTCTATCTACCTTGGCTTTCAGGATAGTGTGGAAAAACATTGTAATGCATTTGCCGGATGACAAATAAGGGAAGAGTATACAAATGATGGTGAAGGATTCTGTTGATAATTGCAAACCACTTAAATGTTGCTTTTTAGTTTATCTCAAAAACTCCTTGACAGAATTTTTTTATCACTGCTGTAAGGATCACTTAAGTGTACATCTCTTTTCCTTTTTTTTTCTTTTAGTTGGAACTAAATTGTTGTGTCTTCTTATCAATCTAGTCTTGGTGGAGCAGGATGTCCAATCGATTCCGCAAGCTGAAGTTGACTCAGACATTGCGCCATGGATTTCCTTCCAATCCGTTTGTGCCTTTTCCGGATGAGCCTGAACCATCATTAAATTCCACTATAAAAGCAGTTTCACAGAGTGATACGGGTGCCTCTGGAAACCTCGATGCTGCTACAGCTCGGATCACAAATAACAAAGCTAGTGGTAAAGGCAGAATTGTCTTATGGGAAGTGTGCTCTCCTGGGGTACTCAAGATGATACTATTTCTAATTTATTGAATTAGTTCTTATGTAGCTTAATATAAATGAAAAGACATGTAATGTATTTGTAGTATGTAGAAAGAGATGTTTGCATTCCTGACTGTTGATCATGCTGAACACTGAGTGGAGCATCATTTAAGCAGGAAAACGCTGATATAACCATGTTACTGTTCTTTAGCAAGCACCATTAATTTGGAGAATAGAGACAGGTCACTGAGAAGTGTTATTATCTTTGATAAACTGATTTATATAGTGAAAACCAATTTATTTGAAGAAATAAAGAAAGAATTCTGAGAAGAAAGTGAAAAAGCCCAAATTGTAAAGCACATCTACTGAAATTGTACAGCTCTCCATGAAACCCCCTTACCCCCAGTTTGTGATGCAAAGTAAGACTATTGGCATAACTTTAATTTAGGTGCATGACAGTGTCACTGGAAATCTTTGTTCTGTGTGCTTACTGAGGGTGAAGCTGTTGACTGTTTGAGAACAATACACTATCCTTGGGGACAAAAGTAGGAGCATGTAAACAATAAAACATCATTTATGTATTTTTCAGGTGCAAACACTACAAAAGGAGGAAAGGATGATGAATTATTGACAACCATGGTATGTTGCAGCGTTCTTGGTGTGTCAGCCTCATTCAGAAGGTTGCGCGGCTCCCAGAATTTTTACAGGTTTTTACCTCCTGTCCAAGATCCCTTTAGAAGGAGATCTGTCATTTGTTTATAGTCATTAGACAAGAACTGTCAGGCTTTGATACATCAGTAGTTCTTAGACTAGGAAGTACTACCAGTGGTATGCTATGGAAGCTGTACTGACTTTTTTCAAGAGTTACCCATACGTTTGTTTGATCAGCAGTGAATTAGTAAAGTAGATGGAACAGATGATTGGTTGCTGACAAGATGTGTGATGTGAGGAACACGTGGATGGCACATGGTGCAATGGAAGTGTGAAATTACTAGTAGAGGCAACCACAAAATATTTAGTTCAGCATGTTCATTTGTGTTATTCTGTTTCTTCTTTTGTTATGCTGTAGCTTTAAATTTCCCTGCAGCTTACTCCCTAGTGATATCATTAAATTTGACTGGTTATTCTTTATGTTCTTTTGTAAGAAGTTGGAGTATCTTTTGATGTAACTGAACAGATGTAACTGATGGACTGAACTCCAGGGAGCCAAATCAGTTGTGTCATCTCTTTCTGGAGAACATATACAGCAGGAACATGCAATTGTTCACTGTTTGCAGTTGTTCTTTCTGGAAATACAGAGAGGACTACATTGTTATTTCTTTGAAAATTAATTTTTAACATTCTTGTTAAAGTCAATTTGAAAAATATTTAGCCCAGTGAAGGAAGAGAAGTTTCTGCCACCTAATGAACTATATTCATTTTATCAAATGAATAAGCATAATATTGAAGGGTGCAACGATGTTTGTTGGATTCTCTGTTATTACATGTTGTGCTTTTTCAAAAATACTACTCGTGTCTCATTTCCATTTTATTCTATTTAAAAATGCATGTCTCCATCTTTTTGCTTAACTTAAAATTTTGAAAGTACGTCACCAGCTCCTAGTAATCTCTTAAGAAGTGACTCTTCCCCCCCCCTTCTTTGTTTTTTCTCTCTCTCAGTTGAGAAGTAGTGCCCCATTTACCAGGCTGCCAAGCGATAAGCTGAAAGCAGTGATACCACCTTTCTTACCCCCCTCGAGCTTTGAGCTCTGGAATTCTGACCGAACACGACTCAGCAAAGATGGAAAAGCTGAACAGATGAGAACTGCCTGGCCACAGAGAGCAATCAAGCATGATTTTAACAGCAGCGGAAACTCTGATATAGTAAGCAGACTAAATGTGTACGAAAATACTGTGTTATGCCCAGGCCATGCTGACTGGTGAGCCACACGGTTTCTGATTAGAAATTACTTTTAACCCACTGTCTCAGTAATGGCTTGTCCTTTTAAACAATGCTGTTTAGGAAGAATGCACACCTCCAAGGAAAGAACGTAATGGAACAAAAGTTTTGTATGAAATGAGATGGCTTTTTTTTTTTCTTGCTGTTATTCAGAATAAAATAGAACCGTAACAAATTTGCTGCAGGCTGCTAAAGTTGGCTGCTGGTTCCAGCCATGTCCCATGTCTTTTAGTAGCCAAAGTAGGTATAGGCACTGGAGTGTGGTCAAAACTGCTCTGATTTGGAAGAAGATCAGGGACAGAAAAAAAGAATAAGAATTGATCAATTTTTAGGACCTGAGCAGGAGGGAAGTCATATCAGTAAGACAAATATACAGACATAACATTCTGAAAGATTAGCAGTAGTTAAAATTGTAGCAAGCAATGATCAAGTGGGCTTGAAGGCATACAGCCTTAAATTGTGAAGGGAAAAAGTCTGGATTACTTCTGGTTTTTATAGAAGGAGCTTGCCTGATTCTACAGTGTTTTTAGTGAAAACGCAAACCAAAAGAAAAATAGCTGGTTTGTCTTGAGACAAGAAACAAAACAACCTCAACAACCTTTGCTTTCATAGTAGGAGAAAAAAGAGAAATCCTTACTCCCCTAAATGTAGACTGAAATAGTCAAGTGGAGAGAAGAGTTTATTTTACTAGTCCAGAACTGTTTCATGTCAGTTCTAGAAACAGGACACCGAAGACATTTTAGGAGGAATTTTTTTCTGTTTTCCTTTTTTTAAGTGGAAGTTAGCTTAATATCAGTAGGGGCGATTTAGGTGGAATAAGGTGGAGTCTTAGAAGGGAATTGACATAACAGGAAGGTAAACATCTGTCATCCTAAAAAAGATGACTGTAGTAACATAAGTGGATAATTAGCTCACTTTATAAAGAGAGGAGCAGGAGAAGCAGGGGAGGACTAGTCATCAGTACTTCTGTGAGGCAAGAAGTGTTTTGCTAAGGGAGTAGGGAGGAGAGAAACATAGTAAGTCAGAGTTGGAAGAAGTGATTTGAGCAACAGGATAAGAAACATGAAAAAGCTAAGCTGCAAAAGCTGTTTGTCAGATGTCTGGCAGTGGCCAGTGGTGTAAAAGCAAAAGAAATGAAGGAGGATGTGGCTGAGGATTTGGCTAGCATGTAGCTAGATCAGTAGTGCCTCAGTTAGTGAAAGTCGGTCAAATGATGAATTTAGATTGAACAAAATACAAAAATGCAACTAGTGGAGATAAAGTTTATCTCACTTCTTGCAGCTTAGTTTGTAAGAGACAGAAATATGATGGATGAGAAATAGATGGTAGCTGTTTTGTAAGATTGGAGAGACAAAACTAGGATTTCTCAGGAAAGCAGTTTCACATGTGACCATTTTTTTTCCTCCCCACTGCTCATAATATTCTGTACAGCCCATCTCAGGGGCATCGTGGATGCTCATTTTGTGCTGGCCAAAGGCTAAGAAGAATTAATGGTTTTTATATGGTATAATTTCTTTCATTGAGTATATATATTAAATGTATATATATTTATGTAAGTGTAGAATATATTCAGTATATTTGTATATGTAAAATAAGATTATTTCTGATATCCCTTTTGTTCTTCAGTGGAAGTTTCAGAATGTGGAATAAGTAAAATAGCAGTTGATCTTTATTGTGCTCAGTCGAGAAAGAAAATTATTCTTAATTTTGTTTTCCAGACATCTGTTAGCAAAGGTACTAGACCAGTCAAATTACCAACATTTGCAAGAAGACCAGCATCTCCTTCAAATTCCAACAACTTCAGTCATTCTCCTCATTCTTCTGGTGGATCCAATAACATTGCAGGAATTAACAGGCATGGAGGAGAACTGCATAACAGATCAGGTACCATTTTTAATAAGAAAGTAATTTGTATCTGGTTCAGCTAAAAAAAATTAGTGTTTGTGATGATGGTAGAAGACAAACCTTTTCTGAGAGCTCCTACTGCTGTAGAGCAAAACTTCTATAAATTTTGTTGAACCAGGATTGGACTTTGAACATAAGGGAAGAAAAGCCTCACATCTGTTACAGAAGTCTCATTGGCCAGCCTCTGTCTCAGAAAAACATGCAGATTTTATTGGGTCCACCCATGGTGGATCAGGTGGATGCTGGTTCATTGCAACATGCATTTCATAGCACTGATTCTTACCCATGTTGCTTACTTGTTGTTTAATTAAAAATGAGTTTTCAATCAAAAACAAAGCTGCAAGCACTGTACCTGGCAGCTGTTGAAGACAATATGATGAAGTGTCTCATAAAACCCATATCCAAGAGGATGAAAGTCAACTCTGTGTGTATATAGACAGGGCTGGATTCTCTCTTCTGCAGTTGATTTTTTACTCCTTTTTCTGAAACCTGCTGGATAGATCTGAACCTTACAATTCTCTCTTGCTTCATCCAGTCAGTTTTTAAACAAAAGTGAGTTGTGGTAGAGATGGGAGAATTGAAAGTTAACAAGTATTTCAAAATTCTGATTTCCTTGACTGGTTTTACTATATTTTTTGTTTTAGGTGGCAGTGCAGATAATGTTTTGTCTCAGATTGCAGCCCAAAGAAGAAAAGCAGCAGGCTTTCCTGAACAGAAACCCAGCCAACAGCACAGTCCAGTCCAGTCAACTACTTCATCCACTCTGTCTGATTTGCAGTGTGCTCAGATTGTTGGCAATGGGCATGTAAAGGTATGGAGAAATGTAAATTTTTGTACTTCCAAATTGGCTAATTATAATAGGTCGTGTCTCAGTGATGGATGGCTGATACATGACATTGCACAGCCTAAAGTGAATGAACACCTGTTACAGTAGTGGAAACTTTTCGGCTCCACAAACCTTACTTTTAATTACAAGCCTACAGAAGATCAAACCTAATAATAAAACGTGATTTTGCTTCATTATTAATTTTATTCTGTTTTAAAAAACAGTAAATGTAATACTTGATCTTAGGGTAGATCTGCACTGTTAGTTTGGTTTCTCATTATTTCTTTCTATGGCCCAGATCCAGTGTTTTGTGTTAGTTATTCCTGGACTTTACTCTGAAGTGATATAGCTAGTTTCCCTTCAAAGGCTCAACGTGAATGCAGAACATGAAGTGATATACAGATTGAGGAATTTAGGAGATGAGGTACAGGGACTTGTTTTGGAAAAGACCAATATACGTACATATATATTCTTATTCCTCATTTTAACTCATGTATTTTCCTGTTTTCCATGCCTCCAAATGTGTTAAACTTGAATCATTTGACTTGTGTTAGGTAATAACGAGTTTAAGAGTTGACTGGAAACTTTCATTCCAGTGCAGCAAGTTGTTAAATGCACCCAAAACTTAGTTTATGCTTACCACATATTTCTAGTTAATCCAGCATGAAATGCTACTTTAAATGAGCATCTCATATGCCTGTTATCAGAGTCAAAGTAATTTACTTTGTTTCTATTATTAAACTGTTCTTATCTCAACCTACAATTTTTACTTTTGATTCTCCTCTCCATTCCACTGGAGGGGGGGAGGTGAGCAAGCCACATAGTTGCCAGATGGACTCAAACCAGGACAGTCCTTTTAGGAAAAGAATAATTGTAGTGCTTGTGTGCGGTATTGCTTTACAAGAAATAATTTTCTTATTATAAAATTACAGCCTTATTAAATGTATTTTTCTTGATGAATTTGAGGTGACAGACTTTCATCTGGGATAAATCAGTATTGCTCCAATTATTTCAATATGGATCAAGCAGAAACTTCTAGTTATGACTACATGCTCTGCAGAAATGATATGCAACTTAAGTAATAATGAAGCATCATATATAGGTAAACATTCTTGGGTTTTTTTAACTGAAATTATTGTATCATTAACTACAGCAAAAACTGGAGATGAACAAAAGACCTCCATCTGGGACTTCATCTACGTCTAAAAGCACATCACCAACTCTCACACCTTCCCCATCACCTTCCCCATCTCCTAAGGTTCAAAACGCAGAGTCTTCTCTCTCTTCTTCTCACAGACAGGCCAAAAGCAACGGTTCCAGCAGTGGTACTATTACAGAAGACGGTGAGTAGGTCACTGTAGTTATAGGAGATTCGTTAGTCAAGAGCACCGACTTTAAAGCTGTAACTGTACTGAAATAGTGTGTATCTGCATGACAATGAGAGCTTTTTTCTTTCTAGAAAATGTATTATGGTGTTTCTTACAGTGAGTTTGGCATTCTGCAGTAACTGCCTTTTTCTCTCCCAAAACCTGTGATCCCTTCCATTTAGAGGGAGACTGGTACCATCTCAAAGCTTGCATGTAGGTAGGCCGCTCTTATGTGGCCTCCTTCCTTTGCCCTTTGATGGCTTAAATCCTGTTTTTCACTCTTTGCTGGGGGTAGAAAATGCACTTTCTCCATGTTAGAAATTATTTTTTTTTTTAAGTAAATGCAGTGAAGCACATCACTACAGAAATACATTTTTGAGTAATAGCAAGTCATAGCTACATGCAGTTGATTTTTAAGAGCTGTAGTGCATTTATTTTTCTAAATGGCAAAAATAGCTGTATTTCAACCTGTTTTTAACCTAAGGTCATATGAAAGAATAATAGTGTCATTACTTTTCCAGTAAGATTACTACCTTTTAAGTTAAACTTTTAGGTCTACATTACAATACTTTTTATAATAAAGTCATGTTACTACATTGGAAACAGGATATCAATAACTTCGTTTTGTTCTGTAAATATCTCAAAAATGTGAAAAAAAATAACTGGACTCAGAATCTTTTAAATAAGAAATGGAGGCACCTTATCTGGTTTCTGCGAGAGGCACTTTCTACTATTTTTGGGTTTTCTGATGTTGTCTGTATTGATTTTGGTTTGTTTTCATTTATGGTAACTTTATCCATGGACACTCTACTTCCATTTGACACTAAAGAGAGGTGATACTTGACCCTCTTTCTGTCCTCATCTCATGGCTTAACTGTGACATATTGTACTGACCACTGGAGAAAATCATTTCACATTTAATTAGTTTATAATGATGGCTTGATAACATAAGAGTTGTCAATTTAGAAATATATAAAAGAAAGAGAACTCACTGTTGGATAACAAAGGGAATTCCCCAAGCTATCAGCTGTTCTTATCTCACCCAGTGAAGCTGGGCTTTGTGACTGCACCACTAATGCCATGATACAGTGAGTTCTCTGTGTAGCAGAGGAAATGTTGTCAGAAGCCTGAGTAGCTCTGGGTTCATTAAGCTTGTAAGCTTTTGTAGTTAAGTGGTCCTTTAATTCAAGGGCTTCTCTTACTGTGATTTGATTCAGTAGCAACAGTACAAATGCTTATGTGCCAAATAAGAATCAGAAGAGTAAGTACAGAAGGCCTGCAATGTTAACTTTGCTTTTCTTTCAAGTCATATTAATTAGATAAATTGATTTGCATTGAATATTACTGTGAAGGAACAGTAGGCGGCAGGGTTCAAAGGTGTGCTTGGTTTCTCTTTAGGCAACCACTCGGTGGACCATCAACAGCTTGTCTCTATTCTGAGAACCAGTGATGTAGAGAATCATGAAAGACGAAACCATGTGAGAGTAAAAGGAGGCTCTGAAAACTTGGAGAAAGGTAATCTTACCTTACTACTACAGGGTAGTATGAAAGGAGGGGCTAAATGGGAGTAATGTGGCAGAAGCAGTAAGAGCTCCGAGCACCTTTGCTTTCTCCAGGGATGTAGGTAAGGAGACAAGATAAGAGTAGAGCAAATGAGAATGATAAAGCAAAGGAGAAACAACATGTTATGCAAGAGTTGTAAAACTGAGAGGTTTGGGAGTTTCTTCAAACTTGGTGTGATAATACAGGAACTGGAAGAGGGGAAGATGAAGAGAAAACTTGAAGCTCCTACTGCAGAAAGCATTCTCTGTGCATGAAAGGTGTTGACATTATAGTTGTTTATGGCAACAAGACTCTGAGCTCAGAGATACTGTTTTTCTTCCCATATCACAGCCCACAGTTTAAGCCCACCAATGTGATGAAAAATGAGAAGCCTGACTAACAACCTAAAAGAAAAAAATTATACTATATCTAAAATTAATAATAAAATATCTAAAATTAATAATATATCTAAGGTCTTCTAATGAAAGAAGTTTTCTTTCTGTAAGGTGGTATTTTTCATCAAACAGTGTGACATTTTTAAAACTGGTTACCTTTTCTTATTGATTAACCTCAGGGTACCAAAGCTTTTAGCCTGAGACCATGCCAGCTTTTGCAAATCATGTTAAGCACACCAAGTTAATTGAACTTGAGGTAAAAAAAACCCCAAAACCCTAGCAGAAAATAAGACTCAACTAGAATTTTTCTCTTTAGATTTTTGTGGACTCCTCTATGTAAAGAAGGAGTCTTTCCGAATAGTACATGGAAGTGTGTCTATCTCAAGCTACTTGATGTCTTTTGAAAAGCTTGGAGAGAGAGATTCTCTTTCATGTTTCTACTGATGATGAAAGAAAAGTGACAGTCAAAAGACAAAGAAGTGAAATAAATAAAACCAAAGTACATTTGGGAATGGACTACTGGTGTCTTTTAAAGTGAAAGTGAGTTTATATGGTGAATTTAAATATAGTTTTGTTGTATAATGTAAATCATTCATGTTCTTAATTTTGACTCCGACTTCTTAGTTTAACTGACTGCTTTGGTACTTCTGGGAAAACAAAGATAATTAGTCACTTGTGACATCAAAGCAATAAAAAGAAAACCTGAGTTGAGAGAGGTAGCATGTAATTAAGTGAGGTAATGTTAGGTTATTCTAAAAGTGCACTTATGCTTTTTAACACGTTTTAAATATGTGGGAAGAGTCACTATCAGGTCCTCCAAATTTTAATTTCCTTAGACTTTGAGAGGAAAGCCAATATTCAGTGCTCTTAGCCTTGGAAGGTAAGCTTATAAAACTTAGATTCGGACCAGTTTTCATCTTACCTGGACTTCAAGGTTGCCTGGATGTCAGGCATTTAAGGAGAAGAGGTTCAGATAGATGTGTGTTGTATTGAGGTTCTGAATGAGCAGCTGGGTGGTTGTTTGCTCTGCAGTTTGCCTTCCTGGATGATGATGTAGAAACATGCTGTTCAGTTCCTTGTCTGCTTGAGGAGTTTTGCTGATTAACCTGCATAATCAGCCATCTGGGGCCAAGCCCCTGCGTTTTAGGGATTGAACTGCCTAAATTGCCTTAGTGGTTTGGTTTTCTAAGGCCCTTTCTAATGAGGAAGAAAGGGCAATTCAGTGGAAAGATTTTATCCTAGCAAGGTGAGGCTAGACAGAGTTACAGTATATGGAAGTAGGTGAGAACAGAGTAAGCAAATATTTCAATTTCTGGTGGAGAATAAATGTGGTGATTTTTAATGAATGTATTTGACTATGTGGAATGTATGTTTTAATATATATTTTCAGCAGTTCATAATGCAGAGATCATTAAAATATTTTCTGATCCATGTGCGGGTTGTTTTCTTTTTTTCTGTTACTACAGATGAGCTGACTGGCATCCTTAAAAAATTGTCTCTTGAGAAATATCAGCCTATTTTTGAGGAACAAGAGGTATGTATTGCATCAGAATTGTGATCCAGAATCTCAGATTTCAAGTTCTACAACCATTTCCAGTTGCAGATGACCTTGAAACATGGACTAAGCAATATTCATGGCATTTTCCAGGATACTGCAAATATCAGAGCTTTTTATGCTTAACCTACAATTTTTGTATAAATAGGTGCTTCAGGGTTTTTCTTTTTCTCTCTGTTTTTACACTCTGGCTTTTCTATATGTGTCTATATCCAATGTGGCTAAACAGTTTATAGGACATACTGTATCATCCCTGCAGTCACAGCTGGATCCTCATTTGCAGATGGAGAACAGGAGGGTATGAGTCACTGAGATGGCTGCTTTATCTTTTTTATCCACCATGAATAAGCAACAGGAGAATTAAACTGGGGGAACGTAGGCATCCTTGTAGGTGAGGCCTGTGACAGTTGCTGAGGGATGCAATGAAAAGAAATATTGCTGAAAATAAGTAAAATTAATTCATTACAATGTTTAAGACAGTATCAGATGTGAGCAAATATTGTGTGTTTATTCAGTCAAGGCAAAGAGTAGTGAATGAACATACAATAAATAGACGTTGCTGCAGAGTTCAGAATTCAGCACCACAAACACAGACTATTTAGCTGCATCACAAAACAATGGGTTATTATTGTTCCCCTGCATGATAGGCAAGGGAGCATTGTGTAGAAATTAATATGCTTTATGTGTGAAGTTTATATCAATATGAAATGCTTTAGATGTTTGTTCTTACCACAGCCTTATGGATGTGGTGTTATAATAAAAACTGATATATGAACAAAACATAGGTTTTTCTCAGGATGAACTGTAAAAGTAAACACAGTATTCTGAAATTCCAAAAATACTTGGGGGAAGGGGGGAAGAAAAGAAGAGAGAGAAACCTTAGGCTTATTCAGCTAGCTGCTACTGTAGATAAAGGAATTTTTTGTGGAGAGTGTATATTAATAGAGCTTGTCTGAAAAAAAATTAAAATCCATTAATATTTTAAATGTACTATCATAATTAGTTGAATGATTAACGACAGATTAAAAACCTTACAACAGCGTGTTAAAATATGTACCATTTGCTGCTGGTAATTCATTAAAATGTTTCTTTGCAAAATATTTACAGTAAGTCTATACAGTTAAAAAAACTCAACAAACCATGTTTAACCTGCAGTGATGAATCTTTTCATAGGTAAATTTGTCTTATATTTTTTTCTTCTTTTTTTTCTTCATATGCAGGTGGATATGGAAGCTTTCCTTACACTTACTGACGGTGATCTGAAAGAGCTTGGTATTAAAACCGATGGATCAAGGCAGCAAATTCTGGCAGCTATTTCTGAACTGAATGCAGGAAAGGTGTGTTTTGAAGTACTGTACTTAGTAAATTATTTCAAGGCTTGTTTATATTGTTAATTCAACATACATTTTGAAATTCAGTTGCAGATGTTAGTTAGAAAAGCTAAATTATTTTTTTCCAAACAAAGTATTTCGTTTATTTGATTAGTGTGAAAAATATTTTCCTTTGTGGTACTCCCTGGTGTCTTTCAATCACTCTTTCCTAGTCCAGTGAAGAAGCTACTGGTAAACAAGAGCAGTATTGCAGTTACCAAATATTGATTTCAGCAATGCTAAAAAGAACCTCCTGGCTGCGATAGTCCAGCTGCAGAGTATAGCGTAAGAGGAAGGGTGTCCCTTGTTTAGCCTAACAGTTTTTGATTCCTCTGTGATTAGGTAAACAGCCCTTCTCTAATTTCTTACACTTTCATTGCCTTTGAATTTTTTAATGACAGAAACAAATTTGCTAAGAATATAGTAAGCAGTGTTCTTAGCGGAGGGATTTGGTGCTGGAACATGACTTTGATTAGGCCTGCTGACACTTCTCAGCTGCTTTTTCAGTTTTGAGGTCCATTCTCTCTCTGATAGTGGAAGCTTGAATAAACAAAACATAATTTCCCCAGGTTAAGAGCGACAGTAACAAGTGATGAGGCTAAAAATTAGGGGAGGTGGATGATGCTCCATGCTATAAAGAGATAAAGAAAATAATGAAAATGTTTCTATTGCTGTCTGGTAGTTTCAGGAAAAGATTACTTTCATGTTTTCTCTATATATATCTGTGAGGTAAGGATTTCTAATTATTTCAAATAGTATATTTAGCATGGAAACATGTATTTACACATTTTTTGTGAACTCTTCATAAATTCGTTTTTTAAACAGAAATTTAAAAACTGTTTTATTTTTTTTTCTTTTACAGGGTCGAGAGAGACAGATTTTACAAGAAACTATACACAACTTCCACTCTTCCTTTGAGAGTAGTGTTAGTAACACACGACCACCAGGTCATTCTCAATGTAAGTAGCACATGAAATTAATTGAAAAATTAATCACAAAAGCACGGAATTAATCACAAAATCAATTACGTTGGAAAAGACCTCTGAGACCATCGAGTCCAACCTATGACCCAACACCACCTTGTCAACTAGACCATGGCACTAAGTGTCACATCACATCTTTCCTCAAACACCTCCAGGTCCGGTGACTCCACCACCTCCCTGGGCAGCCCATTCCAATGTGTAATCACCCTTTCTGTGAAGAAATTCTTCCTAATGTCCGAATGTATGGATACTTCCATTTAATACTGGCTAGAAGACAGAATGTGACAAACAAGCCAGTTAACTGGTTTCCTGGTTAATGATTCATATGTGTCCCTGTCTCTTACTGAGACTGTAGAGAAGATTTCAATGTAAAAAGGTAGAGGATGCTGTAAGAAGTTTATACACACTACAGTACTATCGGAAATAAGCATAAGATTTTTGTTGTGAATTACTAAACACTGCAAATGGATGTAAGTATAGCAAACTAGAGTATACAGTATACCATGTACAGTGTATGTGTATATGTATAGCATCAGTGGCAGGTGCGTTTCTTTATGATACATAGTTTACTTTTGCATACTCTTTATAGGAGACAGTTCTTTAGTGTGATCAAGTAGAATAAATATATTCAAGATTTACAGTTTAGTATAGTGGCTTAGGTAGCTATGTTAATTATGTATTTTTGTATGCATGCATTTAGTTATTTTGCATAGGTAGTATTTTTATGTGATTGTCTACAGTTGGTTTCTTTGGAATACATCTACACCAACCACCAGTGTTATCTGCTAGCAAAGCTGGAGAAACTGCCTTTCAAAATGTACTGCCTATAACCAAAACATACAGGAAGGTGTTGCTGACCTATAACTGATGAATACGTTTATCACAGTCACAGATATAAAAGTTGCAAATCCCTGCCCTGCCAGCCACCTGGGACAAAGGCAGATATTCATCTGTTACTCAAGGTTAAGGAAAAGGGCAAAACCTATTCAGATTTGTACTTCTATATCCATGTTTTAGGAGAAACAATGGAAGCCATTGAATGGCCTTGAGAAGTTCACTATGTTAAAAGTGCCTCTTTTTCATTTGCTCATTTTGCTGCTTGCATCCACTCACAAAATAATTTCATTTGTTTAGGGGCTATATTAAATAATATTTCAGGTGTTGTATGCTTTAGGAGACCTTAATAACGAACAAGTCCCAGTAGTTCCAGTCTCAGTCAGCTGCTTATCACTACATGTGTGAAAGCAGGTGCTAACTGCAGACCTCGTGGTGTCTTGGGGAAAACTGGGAATTGCTGGGGTAGTTAGTGAATGTGGGCTGCTTTCAGTATTCTGTATTGTCTTCTTGTCTGAAAGCCACTTTCAGATATCCCTCTATGCATTGTGCAGCTTACTTCCCGTTCTCAGAGTAGTCAGCCTGTGTGGGAACTTCTGGATGTCTCTTGATAACATCCTAGACTTGAAGAGCCTCTTCTATAGGTACCATTAGGTGAGCAGAAGCTGCCATTTGGGATTTGATAACATGGTGTAATGAACTGGAATTACTCGAGAACCGAAGAAGCATAGAGATGTAACGTGTCTCCAAGCAACTTGCTGAACCTAACCACTGAGCTTGAATGTGTCTTGAAGACAGCAAAGGAAGTAATGGTGGCACAGAGTTGGGGAGAACATCCTTTTGTAAGAATGGAAGCAACAGTTGCTACTGCTAACCATTTGACAGGATGCTGCAAGGAGGCTGCCGTGAGAGATCTAGCTTTTGGGGTTTTGTGTATGAGAGCTCCATGATACAGATTTGGCTGTGAAATAGCAACAGAAGCACTGACAGAGAAGGAAGAGAGCATGTAGATAAAAGAAGTTTCTGCACCAGGTAAGCTGCTTTTTATTGTAAAAAGTAGCAGTGGGACCCTTATGCAGTCTCTGGAACTTGAAGTAACTTCCAGGAATGTGTAATATTTTAGAGCATAAGAGCGCCTGTACCAAGTCAGATCCAAGGTACATACAGTTGTGTTCAACTTTTTCATCCAGTCTCATCTGACACTGATGTGAAGAGCTGCTTGCTTTCATTTTCTGTGAACTTGACATGTCCTGACTTCTTTCGCTTCATCTTACTGGATCAGAAGATACAGTGGGCAATTGTTTCCTCTTCACTGCCTCCATGCCACTGATGATTTTACAAATAACAGTGATACTTTTCCTCAGTCATGTTTTTTCTAGATGGAAGACTTACAGGCTCCTTTGTCATTCCCAATACCATAGTTTTTCTCACCTCTTTTTCTTTTCTACTATAATCTTTTCAGACTTGGGAGATACCAGTCTAGCATACAATATTCAAGATGTAGGCATATTACAGATTTACATGACACAGTGATGTTTGTTTTTCAGTTGTATTCTTTCAGTTTTCTTACCCTTTCCTAGTTATTTCTGAATTGTTGTTAATTGGAACTATGTCTTGTAACCCTGGTGGGTCTACAGAGTTTGAGCTCACAGCCTATAATTTTATATAACCATGCATACATCTTTTTGTTCCATTTGCCTTCATATTACTTCATATTTATCTCCATCAAATTTTGTCTGCCATCTTATTGTTTGGGCACTGATGTCACATGAAGTCCTTTTGCCAATCTTCTGTTTGTCTTTCTCTTTATTTACATGGATAACTTAAGAAGGTTTGTCCCTTCACCCTGTATGCCCTTTCGAAATCATATATTGAATATATTGTTCATATCCTGAATATTTGTATGTAGATCCTTCTGAAATGCTGTGGGTGAATTTCTCTGCTATGGAAATAATAATTTTTTCCTCCAACCTTCTGTCCTCTGCCTCCCTAACAGATTATTTATCCACACAAGAAATTTTCTTTTTATCCTGTGGGTTATTTATTGTCTTAAGAGCTAACCTTGGATCTTGTGAAATGCCTTGTCAAAATCCAGGCATCAAATGGACCTCTTTTGTCTACAAGACTGTTGGCACCTTCAAGGAATTCCAGTAGATTGGTGAGGCAAGACTTCTCAAATCCCTTTTTGATTTTGCACAAAATTTCAGATCCTTTGTTACAGTTTTTGCTAATCTGCCTGGTATTACTGTCTATTAAAACAATTAGCTTCATTTTATCACATCTCAGTTATGTGGCAATTTAAACAACAACCTGTGTTCTGTACACAGCAGTTTAGCTGCTTAATCCTTTTGCTTCTTTAGGACATCTGGCTTGGAAAATTGCTGTTACTTGCTCTGTGTATTTGTTTCATATTCTGTTTTACTAGTACCTCAGGTTAAGATATCTTGGACTCCCACATAAAGAAAGCTTCTGAAATGGGAACCTTCCCAAGTTTTTCCAGGGTGAATACCATTTTTTTTTTCTGATGTGAGCTTACTTCTCTAGCTCATTACGGTCTCGTTGATTGACATCATGTCATTTGTAACTGGCTGCCTCTTGTGGTGTGTTTGAAAAGTAATATGTGAAATTTTTATCATTTTTGCGTGGTCCACAACCACTCATTTCTCTACAGCTCTTTCTAGGAGCCTGTCTGGACACCATTAGCAAGAAAGCCACATCATGATTTGCCTTTCTAGAAAGCTAGGTGTAGCTCACAGGATGACGGAAACATCCTGCTCTTCCAGCTATGTTGGTACCACTGTTTTCCACACTGTCCTTGTGATTTCCTCAATATTTTGAGTCATTTTAAAAGCTTAGTACCTAAACCAGAGTGGCTCTCAGTGTAGCTCTGCTTTTAGGAAGTTTCCAACCTGTAGGGCTGTAAAGAAGAAAATGAAATACAGTCCGAATATATCCATAAGATTCAGAAATGAAAAAGCAGGAGGGAAAGAAACTTAATCCTTACCTTCCAGAAATGTAGCTTATAATTGTGGGAGGTCTGTAGGCTGGTTACCAACACCAAGCCTGTAAATGTCTACAGCTTCTTACACCCTTCCTCATCCATAGCTCCAGTGTCCCCTTAGCTTTAGTTCTGCCCAAAATGCCACAATCCACACTGCTCAGGCTCAGTTCCTCTGCTGCTACCCCTGAGTCAGGAGCTGTTGCTGCTTGTCAAATCTGGTAGGAGATTGGAAGGCAGCAGAAATAGATACACATCTGGATGAGTCTTTGTAGAATGGAAAGAAGAGCTGCAGTGATTACCTACATTCACTCTTCTAAGGAATGCAGTAGAAAGAAAACAAGGAGAGGCAGAATAAATAAAAGCAAGACCATGAGACGTAGAGGATTGATGGTATAACTAATTTCACACAACGGGCTTGTTTAGGAAGACTACCGCGGTCCGAAAAGGGGGGGTGGGACCGTGGCACAGCACGGGTCCGGGACACGAGGATGGGATGCAGGTAGAATGCTTTATCCAAGCGTGCACCCAGTCTTTTATCAGCTCGGGAGGGGAAAGGGCCAGAACATAGGGCGGAGCATGAGGCAGACAAGTGGGGGGACAAACCAGGATAGGGACACGGGCAAAAGAGGGAGGAACGTGGGAAGAACCGGGAAGGGAAGGGGCGAATGGAGGCTGTCCCCTCTCTCTGCAGCTTCTCCAGCCAATCGGCAGAGAAACAGAGGAGCAGGGAGGTGGACAGGCCGGGACATGCCCGGGACATGCCTGGGAAATACAAATTCTGGGGAAGCATACAATGCATATATACATAATAACTGTAAAGTCTGTATCATAAAGTCCTTTCAATCACTGTACATCTTTTTCCACTTCTGAGATTTTCCCCATTCTGATTCCTGGTCCTTCACAGAAGATACCACAGTTTCCTACGGATGTTTTTTTGGCAGTTCAAAATCAGTTGCTGACTTCTTGTAGCTTCTGTTTGAGCATCTCCTGCTCAGATTGTTGCTTCTGAGCTCCCTGTGATATTTACTACAAGAACTCATAGAAAAGTTGTTGAGTGTTTGGCAGGTGAGCTATTTAAGTTATAATAAAGCTCACGGTTGGGAGAAAGTTTCTTTTGTGCATTAGTTGCTGTGTCATCCCTGGGGCTGGAAGTGGGATGATTCTGTGTTGCAAAAAACAACAGGCTTCAAAATACAATTTGCTTTCTGTCAGAAGGATACTGAGACTGCTTCCTCCCCACCCCATGCCAGGGATACCAGGTTAGGCTATGGAAAGTCCACATTCCAGTCCTTGCCTTATTGGCATAAGGCAGATGGCTGCCCTGACTGCAGTGCAAATAATGCAGTGGTTACTGGACCTGTAAGCCATTAGGCTCGGAGGCACCATAGTATTCTGAACAGGTGAACAGTACTTGCAATAGGGAGTGTTGCCTCCATCTCTTTTTTTAATGGAAATGAATCGGTCGCCTTCAGAAAATTCTGATGAAATTAGGTCATTCCAAGAGTGCATGTTACCACAAGTTTTGACACTTCATTGGTTTTCAAGGAAAAAAATTATGGCTTGGAAAATTGCCAGTGCGTAGTAATCACTCCGTCTTTGGTAAGAGAAACTACTAGGAAGATACTACTTCTTAATAACCCAGTGAACTGTGTCCAGCAAACACAGAATTAGCTTGTTGCTTCACCATTTAGAGCAGATGACCAGCCCATGGAGGCATAAGGCAAAATGACTGCTCTGTGGAACAAAATGGTCCTCCTTTGTGTGGACTCTCAGCTTCGATGAAACAGTAAGTGGCAGCATAAAGTCCAGATTTCTGAGGAAAGAGATTTGAGAAATTATATCACCTCAGGAAAAGTTTCTGTTTGTAGCTTAAGGTGACCTTTTTGCTTACATGATTCTGGTAAAAAAAAAAAAAAAAAAAAAAAGGACTTTTTGAATGCTTAATTGCCAAGACTAATTGTGTAGTTTATTTTGGATGTGTGTGTCAAGATTCATGCAGTCATCAACTGGATAATTAACAGGTTGAACAGATCTGGCAGTGGTCTGCAGGTTAATTGAAAGAAATGGCACCAAAGGAGAGGGAGTTGCATCTCAACACAAACTTGCCAAATCAGAAATGAAAAGGAAAAAAAAGTTCATGTGGATTCTATGGGAAAGAAAAAAAGGAGCAAACCAACTGAAATTATTTCCTCCAGAAGAGTACAAATAAAATCCTATATGCTAGTTATTAATAGATATGTAAGGAAGTGTTACATGTTAGATCTGTGAGAAAAAAATGGAAACATTTCATGGAAGTTCCCTTTCCCAAGTCTATGGCTTGTAACAGAATTTGCCATTTCTGCAAAAATGACATGAAAAAGGCAAGAGAGCACCCAAGGTTTGTACTCTGAAGGACACAAACCTCATTAGGAAAAAAAACCCATTAAGATTGGTTGGAGGTAAAGCTAACTGCTGGTTAGCTCAGTTTGCCTTCTAATACCAAGTTTATTGAAATGTTTGAAAGAAAATAATGAGCCTTGTCACTTGGTACAAGTGTCCAGGTGGTCTCCCCTATCTAAACATAATACTTCTAACAGGTGGCAATGAAAGAGAACACACCAGCATCTGGCAGGGGCAACGAAAAAAGGCAGGATTTGGATAAGCTGAATATTCTCCAGACAAAAGTTAAATGAAGAGTAACTATGCCTATGATTATGATAAAAAGAATATGATCCCATTCAGTCTATAATTTGTGGAAATTCTGGTCTTCTGGTTTTTCTTTACATATTATAGTATGTTGCATATTGATAGATAGTTACACATATGTATCTGTAGAGAGTTGTTTTTATATTTACGTTCCACTTTTGGATTCAGAGTCAAAAAATATCAAATGGAAATTATCCAGAGTAAGAAGTTAGGGATTGTAGAGTGAGAAGTAAAAATAGGAACAAAATCAATGTAGACTTGCAAATAAAAATCATACAGGATTCAGATAGTCACTTGCTGGAAAGTACAAATTGAAAAAAGAGGGATAATGGAAAGATTAGTAGATGACTTTTTCACACATGAATTTGACTTTTCATACCTTCTCCATACAGGAGATAGCTTAAGATGAGTACAAAGAATTACAGGGTCAAGTTGTTGGATTCTGGTGTAACAATTACACTGGGAAATGTGGGCCTGGTTCCAGTAGTTGTGGAATTTCTCTCTTCTTTAAAGCGGTAAGTCTTGCTGGTGGAAATTTTTCAAACTTTTTTTTTTTTCTCTTATAGCACCTGGCTGCTCTTTAAAACCACAAGAAGCTGTTTCTCCTAAAAGGTAGCAACAAAAGATTTTTTTCTTATCTTGAAGTTTGGCATCTGACTAAGCAAATCCAAGCGTACAAATGAAAATTTGTAAAGTTAGTCCTAACTACACCTGTGTAGTACTTTCTGCAGTAAAATACAAACCTCACAAAGAATCAAAGAAAATAATAAAGAGGTTGCTTTTATAGTTCAACCTAAGTGTTGAATTGTTCAAGGCATCAGTGGTCTGGATTTGAGAAGAACCAAGTCAGAAGAGCAAGAAAAATGAATGATGGTACAAGAAGATGGATGTTTTCATTCTACTCATACCCATAGATGAACAACCCATAGGAGACCTACATAACAAAAGCACCGAAGAAGGCATGGAAAACACCACAAATTATGGCAGCTTCTACATGAAGAAGTATATAAATTGAATATGCCACTATTGACTGGATACAAATAAAGGAGTCCAAATTGAAAATGTAATGGTTTCATGAGAAGGAATATAAAGGAAGAGGAAGAGTAAGGCTGCATTCTTCTTTAACTGAAATACACTTTATCTATTCAATATTATGAGGTTAGAACAACAGTAAAAGTAAATATGAAATACCTATTTATAAAAATAGCACTTTATTTGAGGAAATGCATAATCCGTCACCAATATTTAAACAAAAATAGTGTTAAAATATTTTATGTTGCTGTTTGGTTTTTTTTTTCTTGAGAATAAAACCATTCTACTGACACTGGCTGGGTGTTTTTGAACGCTAACGCTAGCATGTCCTTAAAATACGTTTTTGTAACTTGTTTTTGTAGCAATTTTAAAAGGAAAGCTGTAGTAATTAGGAGTAGAAATAATTTTCTGCTTAATAAATACAATTTTTATTGAGCAATTAAAATACAAGTCATCAGAAGCTTCTGTTTATCTTTCTGAAGACTCACGAATACGTGACTTTTAATATGAGTCCAGGAGTACTACAAGTAAAGGCAAGAAGATAGTGGAGCTCCAATGCAGAGGAATGATCTCAAGTAATTACTTCAGTACATACCTAAAGATTACACATTTCTCCACCCTCCTCACTGTACTGGTTTTAGCAAAAATAGGGATAGAAGTTGGGTGCACTGATAGAGATAACAGCACCAGTGAAAGTGGTGGTGCCCTGCTGTCCCTCGGGTGCCTGAATGTGTCAGCTGGTTGTGTGATGGCTTCATTGGCTTGGCCATCTGAGGTACAGCTCCAAGCTGCTGCCCGCAAACAGCAGAGCAGCTTAGCTGCACCAGCTTACCCAGCTGTGCTGTGAGAGCTGACTTTGAAGACAGTAAGTTTAAATCTCTAGGAGGAAGAGGAGAAGAGATTACAGAGGGGTATTTCAGAAAAAAGGATGGTTATGAGCTGATTAGGGCAATCAGAACCTGTTAGTACCTTCAGGTCCTTGGTGGTTGTGCTAATAACATTTCAGGTGGAATGGTATAGCCATGTGCAAAATAATTTTTGTTCCATTTTTCTTTTTCAGTGCACATATGTCACCAAATTTAGAACACTTATCAACATTTAGCATGGTATTTTATTTTTCTGACATATCTTAGGCTGAAGAAAATCACTCCTTAGGCAGAATTGTGCTTCAGGATTTATTTCAGCTTTAACATAAAAATATATAATTTCTGCTTTCACAGTTTTCAAGATCTGCAGCCAAAGATGATAATGGCAGGACAGATCTACAGAAATGTTGGTGCAAACCATACAGCATCAAGGTAATGGCCCTGTCCTTTCCTGAAGAAACCTAGACGGTTTTGGTTAAAGCACTTCAAAATGGAGCAGATAAACAATTGCAGCTTCTTATTAAGATTAGGAAACTGTAACAGTTGCTGCTTTGGAGCCAAAACACTGCATGGCACCTTTGGCCTCCTGTCAGTGTAACTGGGAATAGATGATCTGGAATGAGCTGAAACATCTCACTTACTACTGAGTGCCTGTGGGGCCCTATGGCAGCTCCATTTCCCTGTACAGTTTTGTGCTTTTAATCCAAACATCCAACATTCTCAGCAGAGCATCACCTGAAGCCTGCTGATAGGGAAACCTCAACATGAGAACACTTCAGCCATTCCTGTGAAGAGCTTGTGGACCATATTCCTCGAAAGGCAGACTCACCTGCAATAGATTGAGGGGTGGGTGTTCATTTTCTTTCGAGTCCTTTTTAGTAAGACATTGAACAGTTCAGTGTGGAAAACACTTTGCAAAGTGGAGAGAGGCATTCTTTGTACAATCTGAGAGGGTTCAGATTCATGTATGCCACTGCCCAGAAGACTGTCATAACCTCAGGGCTATAAGGCAAGGTAGGGGCATGCTTAATTCCTCTGGTTGAATCTGTCTCACTGTGAAGAAGATAATTCAAGATTCATGGACTGTGGCCCTGTAAGACACTGGTCTAGGATAGGGAGGAGTTAGGCTTTAAGTCCTCTAGTTGATAGATTTATCTACCAATTCCTGCTTAGTGACTGAAGATAAATAGTGCTGTAAATTTGGGAATGTTAACCAAAGTGCATCAAAGAACAAGCAGAAAATGGATTTAAATGGAATGCAACACTGTCAGAGGAGACCTACCAGCATACATGTGTAGGCTCTGTGTTTACACAGCAGGCGGACAGGGCTCCTCAGGCTGTCCCATGAATGAGTCCCACCTTGTGAAGAGTTAGCTTTATTAACACAGGAACAAAAAGAGTTTGGGAACCTTTCTTATTTTCTGCTGCACTCAGTTCTTAAAGGTGGCCTGCTTTTTCTTCCTGATTCAGCTGCCATCATAAGTAGAGAAACAAAACAGGTTGCTTACCATGGCTGCTTTTTCTGGCTTTGAGAGGAGGTAAGTTTGAGATGGACACCTGCATTTATGTGTGTGTGTGTAAGGGCTGATGTGGGTAGCTGTTTAAACTCCACGGTAGGTAGTGGAGGTCTGGTTAATACCATCACTGGGGCCTCAAAGCCCAGTATCTCACCGGTCTAGGCCAGAAGTTTGATTCACTTTTCGAGACGTCCACTGGCACCTGCCAGGCCCTAAGGCATCCAAAGCACCCATAAGAGGTGCCAGACATGACATTACATTAAGGTTATGATCACGTTGTTTGTTGCAGTTACTTGGACAAAGAGACCATTCAGAGATGGAGACTCATTGACTTGTCCTGATTTGTCACAGACTTTCAAAGGTGAGAAACTGTTTCTCATTCGCTCTTCATAGTCTATGTCCTCCTTTTTAGTTTAAATGAAAATCTTTGTTAGCAAACTTTGCTTACCTCATAATGAAAAGTGATACCTTCTGGGTTTTGCCAAAGAAGGAAACTCTACAAGAAACAGTTCTTGTTCTGATTCAGTTTAGAGTTACGGACTTCACTAATCTTTAGTTATTAACACTAATATTTTGCTGAGGAGTACTGTTATTTTACAAGAAACTTTTATAAGTTTCTTTGAATTTAATTTTTTCTTTCTGAACTTTAAGCATTAATCAAGATCAGATTTTAAATAAAGATATTTTGTTATCTGAAAATGATTCAAGCAGTCATCTGTAGTATTTATCATGCTTCAGCAAGTGCTTCAGAAGCCAGGTAGTTTCTCAAGGGAATAACTTTGGTTTCCAGAGTGAAGGGGAACATAAAAGTTCATGCAAAGAGATTTCTTTAATACCAAGATCAGCTTAATTTAGAACTGCTTGGCTGGTCTGACTCTGACACTAATAGCCTCAAACTTGCCACTTTATTTTATTTCAAAGCCCTCTTGGCAGTACAAGGGTACATTTAGTGGGAACAGGCTTTGTCCATTAAAACTGAAACTTCTTGTGCTATATTTAAAGCTCATTTGGAACACTTAATTTCCAGTCTCTCAGAAGTTTGTATTATTGAAATAAACCATTAATGCAATGTCCTCCTTAAAGTGTCACAGCAAAGAATTGTTTCAAAGCGATTTTTGCCACTTGTCATTCACAGCATTCCAGTGTGCGTTAAAACTTAATGGAGTTAACATGCAGTAATAAAAACAAAAGCAGATTTTTGAAGCATGATTGCCATATTCTCAACATTGTATCTATAGCAGTTTAATTGGCCTCTTATTTCTCTCAGTTTTTATCCATAGGTAGGTAAAATACTCTCAAAATCAGTCTGTCTGGTCTTAAGAGGAGTGTGCTATCATGGCTGTTAGCAGAGAGGCTATTGCTATACCTGGAGCAGGGTTTTGAAGGTGATAAACAGGTAAAGGAGCATGTAGAAAAACAGGCCCATTCAAGGTACCTCATTATAAACAACCTAAAAATATTCTGTGTTCATGGAAATACTTGATACATGGCTGTGAGTTCTTGTTTTTAGTAAGCCTAAGTGATTTGTTACCCCACAGAACTGGTGGCCTCCAATAGCTGGTGCAGAGATTTCTGATTTTCTGAGTTGTGGAACAAAATCACTGCACAGAGAGCAGCCAGCAAAGTGCCATGGATTTTATCACCATGGGCCCGATTTCAACTGTTCTCAAAAGATTCCTTCATATATGATTTTTCTAAGTCATTCTCTGCTGCCAGTTTGTCCTAAGAAAGGGAAGATGGAATGAAAGGAAAACAGAATGAAAAAAGCTAGGCATAGAAGCACGGGTAGTATTTTTACAAAATTGGGATTTCTCATTTTCTTTCCAGGATCTGCCTCTCCTTTAGGCTGTTTCTTGAATAGTCAGAATTAATACTGGACCACCACAAGTGAATGCCCTGGGACTCACTTACCTCAGCAGCTCAGGACTCCAAAGCAGTTACTTTTTATCACGGACTTTGCTCAAAATCTGTTGCTCACATACCTTTACTCAGACATAGAGCAAACAGAAAGCATCATCCTCTGTGCTAGTAATTAAGTAGTGTATGCAGAGATCCACCTTTCCAGCTGTTTGGGCCACTGAATGTAAAATAAAGCTCCAATTTATAGATGCTCCTAATACATTGTGTTGTTTATCTCCTATCCTGCATTTTAATTGCTTATTTGGTTTATGTGTCAAGCACACACACAACCTGTAGTCTTTAACAGTGCCACAGATGCATTTCACAGAATCACAGAATGGCTGAGACTGGAAGGGACCTTTGAAGTACATCTACATTCTCAAGCAGACCACCTAGAGCTGGTTGTCCAGGACCACGGCCAAATGATATCCTCTATGTAAATCTCTGCTGACTACTCCCAAACACCACGTCAAAACAACTGGAAATGATTTTCAGTATTCTTTTCTCTCTCACTTTCTCCACAGTCAAGGTGAGGCTGATTGGTTCCACTTCCCTGAATCCTCCTTCTTGCCCTTGTTGAAGATAGGGATGACATGCTTTCTTCCATTCTGCAGGAACCTTGCCAAATCACCACAACCTTTCAAAGATAATTGAAAGTGGCTTTGCAGTGACACCAGACAGCTCTCTCAGTACTTGTGGGGTGCATCCTATCAGGTCCTATGGACTCACCTCTATCATACAACATCTCTTGGAATGATGCCTTAAGCCCCTAATGGTTTTTTATTTTTCTAATATTGGTAAGCCTTATAAGTTTTATAAGTAGATTTTAAAAGCAGCAACCCTCCCTCCTTTGTCCCTTGTCCCTTTCCCTTTCTCTGTAGCACCCTTGTTTATACATTCCTTAACCCTCTTACCCCATTCTATGCTCCCTATATCAATCCTACTCTTGAATCCAGTAGAAATGTTTAGTCTTTTGTCAAGGTAAGGCCTAGATTGTTGGCAGAACAGCATAGCAGGGCCTAAACCACAGAACATGGTCAAAAACTGGGTAACTATGTACCCTTTGTGCTCTGAGGGAGATGAAGATGGGATGAATAGGGGGTCCCGAAATGCCCCCAGACCCATTTTCAGGGGGTGGACCCAAGGCGGACCAGAGTAAAGGCCACAGAGTGGACACATCTGGGATTGGATGGAGGGTATTATAAAAATGTAACCTCTCGGGCACAGGGGCGCGCGTCTTGTAACATCTTTAGCCTTGGCAAAATAAACCCTTTCTTATCTCACCCCTAATTAACTGCTCCGGAGATTTTTCAGCACCATAAATCCCATGGCAACAAATGCCATGTAAGGACATTTTGTTATCTGCATGTCCCCCTCAGACTATACCACAGGTGTTGTGCATACTATGTCTCTGCTAGTCCTTTGGTGTTTTATGGACATCCTCTTCAAGTGGATTTCATAGTGGTTTGTCAGCTCCCATCATTTTAGTTATGCAGCAACAGCATTCATGGTTACCATTCTCTGGGCATGCTGTGTTGCTTCTTAGCAACATATCACTGATATATAAACTTTTGGATTTTCCTTCCAATTCCTTGGACAAAGTGAGTGAACAGGTTGCAACTAAAATTTGCCAGCACTTTTTTGTGTTATCAGCATGCCAGTAAACACAACATCATCATGAAGTGGACAAGGATCTGTTTCAAAATGCTGAGACTTTGGTGGGCTCTGAATATTCTGAGGAAAAGGAACTGGTACATACTGAAGACTGCAATACCCTATATTTCCTAGCCTGACCTAACATCACTCTTGGCACTCACCACATTCATGAGTACAATAAAACAAATTCATTCAAATACATGCACAGTTAGGAAACAAGCTATTAGATTTAGAAACAGATAGCAAATCCTGCAGTAACGGAATACATCTCCTTAGTGTAGCCACAGGTGTTTTCCTGTGCTTTATTCAGATTACAGACTGTGAAGTCGTGCTGACTAGTCATATGATTCAGCCAGCCAGCCAGCAGATCTGGGCCCAGCTCTCAGGGAAGCCAATTGCTCCAGGTGCTATTTTCCACACAGCAGCAATTACTTGCAGCCAAGCTCTTCCTCATTTCCTCTGCCTGGAGAGGGGTGCACCTTCTGAAGTATCCTGAAATCCTTGATAATCAGACAAAGATGTTGACTTCTAACATTAATAGTGTCAATTTGTTGCTCGATTTAGAGGGGATTGGTGTTCTTGAATTAGGCAGTGTCCTGTGACAGCTCATATATGTGCTGGGGCTTGTGATAGCACTGCTTAAACATGATAGTGGTTTACTACTTTATTGCAAAATGCTTGCTGAAAAGTTGTAATAACAAAAGAAATGCCCCTTTTTACCTTCCGGGTAAATTTGTGTATTAAACTAAAAAGCCAAATACTGACCTGATTTGTACTGCTGTAACTCCACCACATCCAAGCCGCTCTGGATTTTAGTGCAGGGAACTGCAACAGAATCTGGGCTAAGATAGTCTGGAAATGGAATATGCAAGGAGACCATTGGTATGTTCTTAGACAAGGAGCTGCAGAATGAGTCTGTCATGTCGCTTTAGATATCTCTTTAATTTGTTGGTGCTCATCTCCCTGATGGCATTCACTCTGCCACTGTTTAACCCCTTGGAGGCCCCTGCCACTCTTTAATCTGGTGAGTAGTTATTTGGTAAGTATTACAAATGTTAATAATAGACTTGTTTTATAATGCCTTTCTTTTCTGTTGGATCAAAACAACACAAAGAGCAGTTCATTTAAAGAGATGAGGAGACTAAGAGGATAAAAGAAAACTAAAAAAAACCCACCAGAAACCCCTGACCTGGCTAGATATATCAACAAAACTAAGCCACTGATTTAGCCTGTGGAAATTAGGAAGAGCCTTCTCATATGTTAGCCATTATGTACATGTGTATATTTTAAATTAATTTGGGAGAACTGTGCATAAGCACAACATGACAAACTCCTAATTTCTCTCCTGGAGACAACGTGCAATATAAGAAGAGTTGCACAACCATTTCACAAAAGTGTTCTTGGCTTTCTGTTGTAACTTTTTTCTTCTTCACAATCAGGAAAAGCCAAAGAAAAAGCAAATACAGAAGGTAGAGCTGATGATAGGCTGGGAATCCATGCTAGACTGTTTTCAACTTCTATGTCTGGCTCCCCATTTTACATGGGGTTCCTTCTGGTTTACTTCCACACAGACACAGAAAAACTAGATTCTTTGTTTTGTACCTTTAAGAAAACTTCTGGCAAAGACACACCAGTAATTTTTTAGGTGGAACAAGGATGATTCAGGAAGGGAATAAGAGGAGAAAGACACTGTCCTGTGCTTTTTGCACTTAAAAATTGCACAGAAAGTTTTAAAACATGAATAAGAGCTGTATAACTACATTTCTGTTAAAATGTAGTATTTCTAAAATCAAAACAAAACCACACACATTTAGAAATTTCCCATAAACCAAGAAATTTTTACTTTTCATTTCCAATAAAAATATTTTTGCCAGCTTTACTGTTTTTTAGTTCATGTACCTGCTTTTTTCAGTCTGTCATCCCAGGCTTTTTAACATTCCCCAATGAGCTCATGTTCCCTGTAAGTTACCAGAGCCAAGTGCATGTTGCAATCCAAATAATTCACCATTGTGTTGCTTTTTTGTTATACGCGTTAGACATGAATGCAATGAAACCTCAAGCTGAGGTCACTGGATAGAATAAGTATTTATTTGTCTCACAGGTTTGAATGGAAGAGTATGTTCTTGGCAATAGTTGTCATGTGGTGAATCTGGGGACAAGTATGTGACCAGAAGGAAGTACATCCTAAGTTCTGCTCCTGCCTTGACAACACACACGTTGTGTGATGTTGAGTAAATCGCTTTCCTGCCAGTTTCCCTTCACCAATAGCTGGTCATGTTTCATCCTTAGCTGGTTATGCAGCCACCAAGAGTGACAACAGGAAGCTCTGGGAAGAATTAACATTGGCGGCAGTGGTAAACTGCTCTTTGACATTCTTGATATTTTCTAGGTGTTGAAATGAGAAAGTAAAAGCACTACAAAAATATTTGTAAGTGTGTTAGTGCCCAGACAGGAACACCACCATCCCCAGGCTTTGGATCATGCACCTTCCCAAGATTCATGATGAAAGGTGGAGGTCAGCATGAGTTTACCCACTGCCTGACCAACCTGATTGCCTTCTATGATAAAATGTCCGGATTTGTGGATGCAAGGGCAGCACCTTGACTTTTTCAAGGCTTTTAACACCATATCTCATGATATTCTTATATACAAGGTGAGATACCACAGTTTGGATGAGTGGACAACTAGATGGGTAAAAAAATGGGTTGGATGGTCAAGCTCAGATAGTGATAGTTCATGCTTTACCTGGTAGCAGTGAGTAGTAGAAAGTGAAGTATTTCAGTGGTTAATCCAGCAGAAACTTTACAAAATTCAACAGGTACAAATGCCAAGTCCTGCACCTGGGAAGGAAGAACCCTGAGCAGGCAGAGCAGTGTAGCAGCAGCTCTGAGGAAAAGGATTTGGGAACCCTGGTGGACATAAGACAGGAGTGCAGACTGTCTGCAAAGATGGCCAACAGCATCCTGGGTTGTAGTAGCCACAGGATGAGAGGAGACAATACCGCTCTGATCAGCATTTGTTAGACCCCACTGCATCCAGTTTGGGGACCCACAGTGCAGGAAAGCTATGGATAAATTGGGATGAGTTCAGCAAGGGCATGAAAATGGTTTGGCACTAGAGCTGTTGCCCTGTTAGGAGAGGCTGAGGGAATGGGGTTTGTTTAGCATGGGGGAAAGAGGGCCTTGTGGGACCTTCTGATAGCTATGCAGCTAGTGAAGACAGCAGCCCTCTGATTCCTAAAGCAAGGTTGTTGAGAAGACGAAGCCAGGCTCTTCTCAGCGCTGCAGGGTGGGAGGACAGGAGGCAGTGTCACAGTCTTGAAACAAGACTGCCTATCTGGGGTGCTTTTCACCACAAAGATAGCCAAGCAGTGCAGCAGGTTGTCCATAGGGCTGTTCATAGGGCTGTGCATTCCCCAGTCTTGCAGGACTTTGAAACCTGAGGGGATGAAGCCCTGGACAGGCTGCTCATACCTCTGAGCTGACCCAGCCTTGATCAGGGAGCTGGACCAGAGCACTGGACACCCTGAGGTCTGCTGCTGGACCCCCACATCCCTCAGCGTCCCGCCGGCACAGGAGTGTGCACTGCTGCCAGGATGTGAACTGCTGCGCGGGGGCCAGCTGATACAGGCGAACCAGGGATCGAATTGGACACTTTCCCCTTCACTTCCAAAGAGTTTGAGGCTCTGCTGATCTCTCGATACCCTTATCGCGGGCTCCTCAGCCTCCGCGGCAGCGCCTTGAATTATTCATGGCTATTGACAATCACAGAAATTAACGCTCCCTCAGCAGAAGCGCAATGCAGCACCCTGATAGTAATGATCAAAGATGAGGTGAGATTACTGGGGCTCCCCCTCAGCGCCGGGGCCGTCCAGGCCGGGAGGGCGCCATGGCGGCGGCCGCCCGCCAGGGGGAGCTGCCGGCCCGGCTTTGGCGGTGCGTCCGTGCCAGCAGAAACCGGCGGGAATGAGGAACAACCGGACCGGGCCGGGCCGGGATAGCTGGGGGTAGCTGGCCGCCCGCGTGGCCCTTTCCTCAGCAAACTGGTGTGGAGCTAATGGGCTCTCCCTCCGATTCGCCTTGCCTCAAGGCAAGGCATTTCCCAGCAGGGGAGAAGCCCTCCCCTCCAGCGCCAAGGGCTGTTCGAACACACTGGGTCTCCGAAAATACAGTGTGGGAAGTCGGTGCGACCTCCTGCCCCGGGTTGTGCCCCAAGGAGCGGGAAGGAGGCTGGGAAAGTGTCACTGTGGCTGCCTTGGCAGCGACAGCGTGGCTTTGGGCGGTGAGAGAGGCTCCTAAAGCATTTGCAGCGTCTTGGTTTTGCTGTGCCCTGAGCAGAGTCCCCAGGTTTGCTGGGAGAGGGCGTCCGAGGAGTCCACTTGCACTGACACAGCGGCTTAATGCCGGCCTCGAAGCCTTTCTGGCAGTCCTCTCCCATGTAAGGCGGTCGCTGCGTGTGAGCTGATGCTCCGGCAGCTCCGCGGGGTGGCGGCTGAGCTCTCCGAACAGAGCCGGGGATCTGAGCTCCCCCCTGTTTACGGACGGGAAAGGAGAACCCACAAAATAACACTGGTGAGTGACTGGCAAACCAAGTTTTAAGTATTATCTAAAATTGCCCTTGTGCGTTCTCTGCTCCAGTCATTAGGCTACATATTTGCTGTAGAAATAAGGTCTAGAAAGCTCAAGAAAGGGAACTGTGACAGGAACAGCATATTCACATGTATGCTTCAAAACACACCAGCGCTGTTCTCCATTGCAGTTGGCATCCCCAAAGAAGTATAACTGATCTGAAACCTCCGCTTGAGTATCTATTAGTTTAATCCATATGAATCAAAAATATTTGTGGTAGTGAAAAATCTCTGATCTGCTTAATTTCTTCCAAATTTAGTTTTGGCGTTGAGTCATCATTATTCCCTGCCAAATGGTTTTGTGAAGTCACCCAAAATAATGAGATGTCACTTGCCTGGATACATTAATAATTAGAAGGATTTATTGTAGTAGGCATCATGGGAAAGTGTAACTTCCCCATTAGATGTCCTTAATTAGAAAAGAATGTGTCAGATTTCAGATCAACGTAGGGGAACTACAACTATCCATTAAAGAGAGAAGGACAAATAATGCAAGTGACAGCCCTTGCAGAAGTACAAAGATTTAAATACTTAATAAATTAAGGGGATTGAAGGTGCTCATTTTCATCACTAAAGCTCTATGACCTGTCTTCATCATCAGAAAAGTTGCGGTCTCCAAACTGAATTAAAAACCATAAAGAGCAAATGCTGTATATAATTCTGACAATAGAATATTTTTGTAATCAGCGGTTATTCCTTTTTATGTCTTTCAGCAATGGCTCCTTAAGATGGGCAAAACTGCTGTGGAAAGTGTTCAACTATGCTAATAGGAAAATTTTATAGTGACAATGGCATCTCTTGAACCACAAGAGCTATATCTAGTACATTTGCTGAGTTGGTGGATAGAGAAATGGTCTGGCTGGCTTTTAGATAAAAATTGGTGAGCTGTTAGGTAATTGTAACATGTGGGAGGCATTACTGTAAATCCAAGCAGAATGAGGTCCCTAACTACTTGGGCATGTACCCATCTTTTGTGTCCTCCGTTTGGCTGTAGGTAGTTTCTCATAGACCCAGGCTGAGGGTTTTACCAGATATTACACAGAAGCTAGAAAGTAAATCTTAAAATGCTTACATTTACTTAGAGTCACAAGTGAAACCAGTTTATACTCCTATTTCTGCCCAGTGCTTGGTTAACATACAGGCATTTTATTTATGTAGTCTTAAAATCACAGCATGAATGACATCAAGGCAAGAGTAATTTAAGAAAGGGGAACGTGTGTCCGCAGTTTGTTTCAGCTTGCAAAGAGATGAGGTTCCAAGACGGGGAGACTAAAATTTTGCATCATAAGCAATCTACTCCCTTCTGAGACATCTGATTTATTAATTCTATGTCAGTTACACCTGAAAGTTACTACAAGTTGATTACTGTGGCCTACAGCTTCTACTGCAGCTTTTTCTGCTGCCTCTGTGTAATCAGTAACGTTGGACCAGTGCCTAACTGACAGGTGGCCACATTACCAAGTTATCAGCTTGTTTCCTGCTCTTGATAAGTGTTTCATTAGGGCTGGTTGTGGTAGGAAAGCTGTATTTGTTTCTTATGGGGAAAGGAAATCCTTAACAAGGGGGCTAAGCCACACAAACAAGGCCTTGTTAAATAATCCTTTCAGTTTGAGTGACCATTTTGTGCAGCATTTTGCTTGAAAAATGTGGTTTTGATTTTTTTTATGAGTGTTTATCTGAAGAATAATGATGAGCATTAGGTTTGGATTTAGAAAAGGATAGATTTAGTTTACCTGTAGGAGATAGGTGCTCAAAACTTGTATAGTTCTGTGGGATTGAACTTTAAAGACATGAGTTACATGTCCTTTTGAAGTACTGTCTGGAAGCCTTTTTTATTGTTAATTTAGCCTTTTCTAAATTGAACCTTTCATCACATATTAAGTCCTAAGAGAGCTAGGGAACACAGGGTGTGTTCCAAAGGGATACATAAAAAGCACCTTACTTCCATAAGTCATTAGCATCCAGCATTTGTGTTTTAATGAGCTAAAATGAGAAATCTTGTAAACTAATTTGAACCAACTACAGTGTCTTACTCACAGCGAGATGCCTCAAACATCAATCAGCTCTTGAAAGTTTGTTTGTGAGATACTTCTCTAAGAATCTTTCATCCTAAAAATGACACTTGAAAACTTGGCAATAGATCTTGACAAAATTCACATGTGAATGCCCAAGAGATAAGCAGTGCATTGTTTTACTGAGGAAGGTGATATAAATATTCTGCTTCTGAAGGCAGGTCTAAACAAAGCTTACCTGCTCATTAAAAGGTAATGAAACCTGACTATTTTACATACTGTTTTGTGAATGACATTTTCTGAAACACACTTTTATTTTCAAACCTCTGAAAAACCTCTGTGGATAAGCGAAGTTTAGTATGATAAAGAAAACATTTTATTCAGCTTTAAAAACTGGGATGTCTTCCTCAGAAGAGTGTTATGTGGGATGTGTCACACCATCCGTAGAGCTGACTATTCTTTTAGTAGTACTAGTAGTATTTTCAGTTTTAAATTAAAATCTGCCTGAAGCCACAGATGAGTTCTCAGCTCACTGTTCTCTGAATAAGCATACAAATCAAAAATCACACTTTCCTCAAAAAGCCTATTTGAAGGTTAGCTGTCAACTTGGACTGAGTAAAGCACCTTTGACTTGAAGAAGTCTGAAGTGCTGCAGATGTTTGCACTTTAAAATATGGGACAAGTTATGCCAGAAAAAGAGACAAAAAGGTTGAAGCCAGATCACTGCCCATTTGTTTATTTGGCAAGCAAGGATCTTCACATATCAGAATAGAATAATTTTAAATTTTTTGCAGTTTAAGAATCTCTGTCAAATGAATCCAGGTGATGAACCAGCATACCAGTTTACTTTTCCTGTGTTAAAATACATGCCCGATTTAATTTTGCCAGTAAAAACAATGTATTGAACAGATTATAAAATGAAAAAGTGGCCCAAACCAAATGAATGATTTATCTATGCCTGCCAAGATTGGAAATTCAGGCAGCCTAAGGTAACAAAATATGCAGATAGATATTTCAAGAAATTATGAAATATGCTTGATACCCCTTGAAATCAAATCAGGTATGCTGAGTAAGCCTTGCCTATTTTTTTCTACAAAAATCATGAATAATTATAATGATATGTGTCATTACTTATGGGTAGCCATGTATGCTTATAGTCAAAATAATTGCTCAGACATCAAACATCGTCCTGTTTACTGGGCTTTCAGGACCTTGTTTAATATTAACAGCGGTCAGAATGGTAGTAAACAAAGTAAACAAAACAGGGCTTATGCAGGGTCACCTCAACCATTTGTACATAAGCAAGGAAGTGCTTACAAGGCATCATTATCAAAAAATCTCAGACCTTTTCTGGGAAGTCAGCTTCCTGGGGTGTCTCTCTGAAGAGCATGCACATTAATGCACACAGCATGGCGAGTAAACACCAGGAAGGAGAGACCTGCGTGCAGCTGAAGGGCTATGAAGTTGGAATCACAGAGACAAGGTGGGATTATTCATGGGACTGCAGTACTGCAATGGAGGGATACAGGCTACAAAGATAAGGTGGTGGGGTTGACCTTAATGTGAGCGAACAGCTGGAGTATATAGAGCTCTGCCTAGGGGATGGACAGTGAGCCAGCTGAGAGCTTTTGGGTGTCTATTACTGAGCGCACCAATGTGGCTGACGCCGTAGTAGGTGTGTGCTATATGGCATACGCAGGCATAAGAAGGAAGAACAAATGGATAAGGCCTTCTGTAGAGAGAAGAAGCCTCATGTTATAGGCTGTGGTCCTCGTGGGAAACTTCAACCACCTGATATATGCTGAAGGAACAACACAGACGGACATATGCAGTCCTGGAGGTTCCTGGAGAGTATTGAGGACCCAGTGAAGACAGGTGCTCTGCTGGACCTCATAATTACAAACAAGAAAGGGCTGGTTGAGGATGTGAGGTTCTCAGGGGCCACGAGATGATGGAGTTCAGAATCTTAAGAAGAGGAAAGAGGGCAAAAAGCAAGATCATGTCTCCAGGAGAGTAGACTTCGGCCTTTTCAGGGATCTGTTCAGGTAGACTCTGTGGGATAAGGCCCTGGATGGAAAAGGGGCCTAAGAAAGCTCTGATATTCAAGGACCACCTCCTCCAAGGTCAAGAACAATCCACTGCAAGAAGCAGGAAGTCAGGCAAAAGTGCCAGGATGATTACATGGATTAACAAAGAGTTCCTGGCAAAACTCAAACATAAAAAGAAGAGGAACTGTCTGAGCATGCAG